GGTGGATGGTTAAAAGTGTTTTGAGACGTCGCAAGACATGGTGGATGGTTAAAAGTGTTTTGAGACGTCGCAAGACATGGTGGATGGTTAAAAGTGTTTTTAGACGTCTCAAGACATGGTGGATGGTTAAAAGTGTTTTGAGACGTCTCAAGACATGGTGGATGGTTAAAAGTGTTTTGAGACGTCGCAAGACATGGTGGATGGTTAAAAGTGTTTTGAGACGTCGCAAGACATGGTGGATGGTTAAAAGTGTTTTGAGACGTCGCAAGACATGGTGGATGGTTAAAAGTGTTTTGAGACGTCGCAAGACATGGTGGATGGTTAAAAGTGTTTTGAGACGTCGCAAGACATGGTGGATGGTTAAAAGTGTTTTGAGACGTCGCAAGACATGGTGGATGGTTAAAAGTGTTTTGAGACGTCGCAAGACATGGTGGATGGTTAAAAGTGTTTTGAGACGTCGCAAGACATGGTGGATGGTTAAAAGTGTTTTGAGACGTCGCAAGACATGGTGGATGGTTAAAAGTGTTTTGAGACGTCTCAAGACATGGTGGATGGTTAAAAGTGTTTTGAGACGTCTCAAGACATGGTGGATGGTTAAAAGTGTTTTGAGACGTCTCAAGACATGGTGGATGGTTAAAAGTGTTTTGAGACGTCGCAAGACATGGTGGATGGTTAAAAGTGTTTTGAGACGTCGCAAGACATGGTGGATGGTTAAAAGTGTTTTGAGACGTCTCAAGACATGGTGGATGGTTAAAAGTGTTTTGAGACGTCGCAAGACATGGTGGATGGTTAAAAGTGTTTTGAGACGTCTCAAGACATGGTGGATGGTTAAAAGTGTTTTGAGACGTCTCAAGACATGGTGGATGGTTAAAAGTGTTTTGAGACGTCGCAAGACATGGTGGATGGTTAAAAGTGTTTTGAGACGTCGCAAGACATGGTGGATGGTTAAAAGTGTTTTGAGACGTCTCAAGACATGGTGGATGGTTAAAAGTGTTTTGAGACGTCGCAAGACATGGTGGATGGTTAAAAGTGTTTTGAGACGTCGCAAGACATGGTGGATGGTTAAAAGTGTTTTGAGACGTCGCAAGACATGGTGGATGGTTAAAAGTGTTTTGAGACGTCGCAAGACATGGTGGATGGTTAAAAGTGTTTTGAGACGTCGCAAGACATGGTGGATGGTTAAAAGTGTTTTGAGACGTCGCAAGACATGGTGGATGGTTAAAAGTGTTTTGAGACGTCTCAAGACATGGTGGATGGTTAAAAGTGTTTTGAGACGTCTCAAGACATGGTGGATGGTTAAAAGTGTTTTGAGACGTCTCAAGACATGGTGGATGGTTAAAAGTGTTTTGAGACGTCTCAAGACATGGTGGATGGTTAAAAGTGTTTTGAGACGTCTCAAGACATGGTGGATGGTTAAAAGTGTTTTGAGACGTCTCAAGACATGGTGGATGGTTAAAAGTGTTTTGAGACGTCTCAAGACATGGTGGATGGTTAAAAGTGTTTTGAGACGTCTCAAGACATGGTGGATGGTTAAAAGTGTTTTGAGACGTCTCAAGACATGGTGGATGGTTAAAAGTGTTTTGAGACGTCTCAAGACATGGTGGATGGTTAAAAGTGTTTTGAGACGTCTCAAGACATGGTGGATGGTTAAAAGTGTTTTGAGACGTCTCAAGACATGGTGGATGGTTAAAAGTGTTTTGAGACGTCTCAAGACATGGTGGATGGTTAAAAGTGTTTTGAGACGTCTCAAGACATGGTGGATGGTTAAAAGTGTTTTGAGACGTCTCAAGACATGGTGGATGGTTAAAAGTGTTTTGAGACGTCTCAAGACATGGTGGATGGTTAAAAGTGTTTTGAGACGTCTCAAGACATGGTGGATGGTTAAAAGTGTTTTGAGACGTCTCAAGACATGGTGGATGGTTAAAAGTGTTTTGAGACGTCTCAAGACATGGTGGATGGTTAAAAGTGTTTTGAGACGTCTCAAGACATGGTGGATGGTTAAAAGTGTTTTGAGACGTCTCAAGACATGGTGGATGGTTAAAAGTGTTTTGAGACGTCTCAAGACATGGTGGATGGTTAAAAGTGTTTTGAGACGTCTCAAGACATGGTGGATGGTTAAAAGTGTTTTGAGACGTCTCAAGACATGGTGGATGGTTAAAAGTGTTTTGAGACGTCTCAAGACATGGTGGATGGTTAAAAGTGTTTTGAGACGTCTCAAGACATGGTGGATGGTTAAAAGTGTTTTGAGACGTCTCAAGACATGGTGGATGGTTAAAAGTGTTTTGAGACGTCTCAAGACATGGTGGATGGTTAAAAGTGTTTTGAGACGTCTCAAGACATGGTGGATGGTTAAAAGTGTTTTGAGACGTCTCAAGACATGGTGGATGGTTAAAAGTGTTTTGAGACGTCTCAAGACATGGTGGATGGTTAAAAGTGTTTTGAGACGTCTCAAGACATGGTGGATGGTTAAAAGTGTTTTGAGACGTCTCAAGACATGGTGGATGGTTAAAAGTGTTTTGAGACGTCTCAAGACATGGTGGATGGTTAAAAGTGTTTTGAGACGTCTCAAGACATGGTGGATGGTTAAAAGTGTTTTGAGACGTCTCAAGACATGGTGGATGGTTAAAAGTGTTTTGAGACGTCTCAAGACATGGTGGATGGTTAAAAGTGTTTTGAGACGTCTCAAGACATGGTGGATGGTTAAAAGTGTTTTGAGACGTCTCAAGACATGGTGGATGGTTAAAAGTGTTTTGAGACGTCTCAAGACATGGTGGATGGTTAAAAGTGTTTTGAGACGTCTCAAGACATGGTGGATGGTTAAAAGTGTTTTGAGACGTCTCAAGACATGGTGGATGGTTAAAAGTGTTTTGAGACGTCGCAAGACATGGTGGATGGTTGAAAGTGTTTTCAGACGTCGCAAGACATGGTGGATGGTTAAAAGTGTTTTGAGACGTCGCAAGACATGGTGGATGGTTGAAAGTGTTTTCAGACGTCGCAAGACATGGTGGATGGTTAAAAGTGTTTTGAGACGTCGCAAGACATGGTGGATGGTTAAAAGTGTTTTCAGACGTCGCAAGACATGGTGGATGGTTAAAAGTGTTTTGAGACGTCGCAAGACATGGTGGATGGTTAAAAGTGTTTTGAGACGTCGCAAGACATGGTGGATGGTTAAAAGTGTTTTGAGACGTCGCAAGACATGGTGGATGGTTAAAAGTGTTTTGAGACGTCGCAAGACATGGTGGATGGTTAAAAGTGTTTTCAGACGTCGCAAGACATGGTGGATGGTTAAAAGTGTTTTGAGACGTCGCAAGACATGGTGGATGGTTAAAAGTGTTTTCAGACGTCGCAAGACATGGTGGATGGTTAAAAGTGTTTTGAGACGTCTCAAGACATGGTGGATGGTTAAAAGTGTTTTGAGACGTCTCAAGACATGGTGGATGGTTAAAAGTGTTTTGAGACGTCTCAAGACATGGTGGATGGTTAAAAGTGTTTTGAGACGTCTCAAGACATGGTGGATGGTTAAAAGTGTTTTGAGACGTCTCAAGACATGGTGGATGGTTAAAAGTGTTTTGAGACGTCTCAAGACATGGTGGATGGTTAAAAGTGTTTTGAGACGTCTCAAGACATGGTGGATGGTTAAAAGTGTTTTGAGACGTCTCAAGACATGGTGGATGGTTAAAAGTGTTTTGAGACGTCTCAAGACATGGTGGATGGTTAAAAGTGTTTTGAGACGTCTCAAGACATGGTGGATGGTTAAAAGTGTTTTGAGACGTCTCAAGACATGGTGGATGGTTAAAAGTGTTTTGAGACGTCTCAAGACATGGTGGATGGTTAAAAGTGTTTTGAGACGTCTCAAGACATGGTGGATGGTTAAAAGTGTTTTGAGACGTCTCAAGACATGGTGGATGGTTAAAAGTGTTTTGAGACGTCTCAAGACATGGTGGATGGTTAAAAGTGTTTTGAGACGTCTCAAGACATGGTGGATGGTTAAAAGTGTTTTGAGACGTCTCAAGACATGGTGGATGGTTAAAAGTGTTTTGAGACGTCTCAAGACATGGTGGATGGTTAAAAGTGTTTTGAGACGTCTCAAGACATGGTGGATGGTTAAAAGTGTTTTGAGACGTCTCAAGACATGGTGGATGGTTAAAAGTGTTTTGAGACGTCTCAAGACATGGTGGATGGTTAAAAGTGTTTTCAGACGTCTCAAGACATGGTGGATGGTTAAAAGTGTTTTGAGACGTCTCAAGACATGGTGGATGGTTAAAAGTGTTTTGAGACGTCTCAAGACATGGTGGATGGTTAAAAGTGTTTTCAGACGTCTCAAGACATGGTGGATGGTTAAAAGTGTTTTGAGACGTCTCAAGACATGGTGGATGGTTAAAAGTGTTTTGAGACGTCTCAAGACATGGTGGATGGTTAAAAGTGTTTTGAGACGTCTCAAGACATGGTGGATGGTTAAAAGTGTTTTGAGACGTCTCAAGACATGGTGGATGGTTAAAAGTGTTTTGAGACGTCTCAAGACATGGTGGATGGTTAAAAGTGTTTTGAGACGTCTCAAGACATGGTGGATGGTTAAAAGTGTTTTGAGACGTCTCAAGACATGGTGGATGGTTAAAAGTGTTTTGAGACGTCTCAAGACATGGTGGATGGTTAAAAGTGTTTTGAGACGTCTCAAGACATGGTGGATGGTTAAAAGTGTTTTGAGACGTCTCAAGACATGGTGGATGGTTAAAAGTGTTTTGAGACGTCTCAAGACATGGTGGATGGTTAAAAGACTGGCTGTGGGATCGGATCAAAACACAGGTGGAGGGGGAGGAGGAGCAAGAGAGAGAAGGATGTGTTTGATTCCCTGCCAGAGGTGAAGGGGGAAAAGGTGGAGGCAAGGGGAAAGTGGATGGTGGATGGAGCTCGAATGAGGGGCGGATGAGAAGGGGGATGCGTTTCTTTCTTACGTCCTTTTCACCTTTTGTGATATCAAACACAGTTATAATCACTACTTAATGTTTGCACCTTTTCTTGTTGCTCAACCATGCCTTGTCCATTGGACTACTACTATTGCAACCCTTCTCCTTAACCCTTCCTCCCCCCCTTTTTCCCCCTTCGCCTTCCCCCATTCCCCCTCCCCCCACCCATGCCCTTGTCAGTTTGCGGACGATGGCATGTTCCCAGACCCGCCAGAGGTATGAATAGAGGTGTTGGTGTGAGGGGGTGAAAGTAAGGCGTCCTCCCTTCCCCTCCTTCCCCCCATCGCCTATCTCCGGCCCCCACCCATGCCCTTATCTTTGCAATTTCCAGACCCTCCCGAGGTATGAATAGAGGTGTTGGTGTGAGGGGATGAGGCTTGAAATATATGTCTGGGAGGCTTGGGAGGCATGAGGGTTGGGATGGAAGTTGAAGGATGGCGATATGTTCCCCGCCCAGACCCTCCTGAGGTATGAATAGAAGGTGTTAGTTCTCTCTCCCCCTCGCAGATGCACGAGTTCGCTCAGGACTTGGGCGCCATACAGATTTTCTTCCCCAGAACCTGGTTTACCCATCCCCACCTCCCCCCTGCTCTCTCCCTTTCCCTGCCCGTATCCCTTTTCCACTCAGATGCAGGAGTTCGCTCAAGAGTTGGGCCCCATGCTCGGCGCCTTCCCCTCCGCCTCCCTCGGTTCTTCCTCCCCCGGGTCAACCCTGCCGCTGCTGCAGCAAACACACATGCCCCCCTCTCTTTCCCTTTCCATCTCCTCTCTTTCCCCCTCTCTCAGATGCAGGAGTTCGCCCAGGAGTTGGGCCCCATGCTCGGCGCCTTCCCCTCCGCCTCCCTCGGTTCCGCCTCCCCCGGGTCAACCCTGCCGCTGCTGCGAGACGCTGAGATGGTGGTGCAGGAGTGCATGGATCGGGTGCTGCTGAGCAGTCAATGGGGGAGGAAACTAGCTGGTTTGGAGCCTTCTTTTACCGTCATTGTGGATTCGTTTGAACGAAGGTGAGCAGATGAGTAGAGCAGATGAGATGAGATCAGCAGCAGAGCTGGTGGTGCAGGAGTGCATGGATCGAGTGCTGCTGGGATCCCAATGGGGGAGGAAACTAGCTGGCTTGGAACCGTCCTTTACTGTCATCGTGGACTCGTTTGAACGGAGGTGGGTCTTGGCTTGTCTGAGGAGAGGTGGGAGGAATGTGAGTGAGATGCACAGATGGTGGTGCAGGAGTGCGTGCATCGGGTGCTGCTGGGAAGTGAATGGGGGAGGAAACTGGCCGGGCTGGAGCCTTCCTTCTGTCATCGTGGACTCGTTTGAACGGAGGTGAGCAGTCGAGATTCGGGGTGTTCAATGGGTGGGTTTAGTTGAAGCCTCGAAGAAGCAGAGTTAGCGGTGCAGGAGGGCATGGATCGCGTGCTGCTGGTGAGTCAGTGGGGGAGAAAACTTGCTGGTTTGGAGCCGTTTGAACGGAGGTGGGTTTAGGCCTTGTCTCTGCTGCGAGATGCAGAGGTGGTGGTGCAGGAGGGCATGGATCGTGTGCTGCTCGGGAGTCAGTGGGGCAGGAAGATTGCAGGGCTGGAACCCTCTTTCACAGTTGTCGTGAACTCGTTTGAAAGGAGGTGAGTATGCAGGCTTGTTGTTGAGGGAAGATAGAATGTGAAAGGAGGTGAGTATGCAGGCTTGTTGTTGAGGGAAGATAGAATGTGAAAGGAGGTGAGTATGCAGGCTTGTTGTTGAGGGAAGATAGAATGTGAAAGGAGGTGAGTATGCAGGCTTGTTGTTGAGGGAAGATAGAATGTGAAAGGAGGTGAGTATGCAGGCTTGTTGTTGAGGGAAGATAGAATGTGAAAGGAGGTGAGTATGCAGGCTTGTTGTTGAGGGAAGATAGAATGTGAAAGGAGGTGAGTATGCAGGCTTGTTGTTGAGGGAAGATAGAATGTGAAAGGAGGTGAGTATGCAGGCTTGTTGTTGAGGGAAGATAGAATGTGAAAGGAGGTGAGTATGCAGGCTTGTTGTTGAGGGAAGATAGAATGTGAAAGGAGGTGAGTATGCAGGCTTGTTGTTGAGGGAAGATGAATGTGAACCGCAGAGATGGTGGTGGAGGAGCGCATGGATCGGGCGCTGCTGGGGAGTCAGTGGGGGAGAAAGACTGCTGGTTTGGAGTCTTCCTTCACTGTCATTGTTGACTCGTTTACACGGAGGCGAGTAGTTGCTGCTTCACCTCCGCCTCCCACAGTGCACCCTCCCCCAGGTCAACCCTGCCGCTGCTGCGAGATGCAGAGCTGGTGGTGCAGGAGTGCATGGATCGGGTGCTGCTGGGGAGCCAGCGAGGCAGAGGCGGTGGTGGGTGCAAAGATCAAGACGTTTGTCATCTGCGGTTGATAGCTATATCCTCTACATTGATGCCTATAACCCATAAGCGCACTCCCTCTCACTTCCTGCAGGGTGGAGGAGGCAGAGGCGGTAGCGGATGCGGAGATCAAGGCGTTTGTCAGCTGGGGTTGATACCTGGAGATTTGCTGCTTATAACCCATGAACCCACTCCCTCTCTTCTTCGCTTTCTGCATACAACAGGGTGGCGGAGGCAGAGGCGGCGGTGGATGCGGAGATCAAGGCGTTTGTGAGCTCCGCCATCACCAGCCTCTTACCTCTCCCCTTCCCCTTCCTCTTCCTCACATCTTGCCCTCCTGCCGCTGTCCCATTGGCAGGGTGGCGGAGGCAGAGGCGGTGGTGGATGCGGATATAAGGTGTTTGTCAGCTCAGCCATTTGCACACCCGCTTTTCCATTCTCTCTCCTCCTTACACAACAGGGTGGAGGAGGCAGAGGCGGTGGTGGATGCGGAGATCAAGGCTTTCGTTAGCTCTGCCATCACCAGCCTCCTGAAGAAATGCGATCTGCTGCCGCAACAGCTCTCCACCGCACCTCACAAGGGGAAAGCAGAGGACAAAGCGAAGGAAAGGGGAATGGCAAAGGACGGCTTTTTAAAAAGCGAGAGGAAGGGGGATTCAGAGCAGGCGCTGTCAGTGCAGCAGCAGCAACAGGAGCAGGTGCAGCAGAACCGGCAGCAGCAGCAGGTGAAGGAGGAAAGGGGTTTGTCAGAAGCTGGTTCTTCCCTCTCCACTCGTCCCGCTGCCAGCACTGCCAGCACCACACTCCCTGGTGATACTGTCACGCCCACAGTCCCTGATACGATCACATCCCAAACCACTGATACTGTCACATCCGCTCCTCCTGATACTGTCACGTCTGCTCACAGCAGCACGGCCATTGATAACAGCACACCCTCTACTACCACTGTCATTGCTGCTACAGCAGCACCACCCACAGCCTCTCCTGCTTCCGAAACACCGCTTACAGGCACACGCAGCACAGTCACAGCTGCTGGGGGAAAGGGGGGAAAGGTGAAGGGGAGGGGGAGTGGGAGCAAGGAGGGCAGCAAAGAGGGGCATGCCCTGGAAGGGGATTTACTGGCTGGCCTGCTGCGATTGATGGGGGAGGATGGTGCGGCTGACCTGCTGTATAAGGCAATGGGAATTGGTCGCACGAGCGGGGGTGGTGTTGGGGGAAAGGAAGGGGGTGGGAATGGAAAGCGAAGGATGGGAGAGGACGAGGCTTCTGAGCTGTTGGGTAAGGCTATGGCCTTTTTAAACAGGGATGGGGATGATGCTGGGAGGAAGAGTGGGGGTGATGTTGGTGGAAAGTCTGGGAGTGATGCTGGTGGGGAGAGTGGGAGTGTCACAGCGAAGAATGGGAATGATAAAAGCACTGACAGTGTGGATGAGGGAAATGGGAAGAGTAAGGATGATAAGGCGCAGTCATTTGGGAGCCATGACGGGGGCGATACTGGGTTGAGTGGTATAGTTGGGAAGGATAAGGCATTGATAGGAAGTGGTACGGGAGCGAATAGCAGTGGAGGAATGAGCCCTGTTGACAGCAGCATCGATAAAACCGCAACCAGCAGTCTTGGTTCCAATGTCAGCAGTAGCAGCAGCAGCATCAGCAGCAGCAGTGCCAGCAGCAGCAGCAGCACCGTCACAGCTAATGTCTCGGATAATGCAGATCTGAGTATGAGAGAGGGGATCAAAGGAGCGGTCGAGAAAAAGCAAGAGGACGTGAAGGAGATAGCAGCTGAGGAGAAGCATCTTGTGCAGAGAGGTTTAGGTTCGACTCCCAAGACTGCTGATGAGGATCCGGCACAGGAGAGCATAAGGCAGGTGGTGAGTGCGATACGGGGGAAGCTGGCTGCTGCTGTGGCTGAAGGGACACGTGGCATGGCTGGATTGGTGGATTCTGCTAAGGAAGCGGTGGCAAGACTGGCCCGTCAAGAGGGTACGTCTTCAAACGAAGCTGCTTCAAACGAATCTGCTTCAAATGAATCTGCAGAGGCTGTTGCAGGAAAAGCTTCTGTAGGGACGGGAGCTCGTGTTACAGGTGGGGTTGCTTCGGCAACAGAGCATGGTCTTGCAGCTGGTGCAACAGAGCCTGTCAAGTCACAAGCGCAATCGAGTGAAGCACAACTAGGGGCTGCATCATTGGCGGCTAATCAGAGTGATTCTCCTGCAGGAGTTGTGGTGCCAAAATTTCCTGCAGCAACAGAAGGTGGAACGGCAGAACCTTCTGAAGTGGTTGCGTCTGAGGCAGATGTCACAGCGATGTCTGAATCAGAGATGAGAGATGCTGAAGAGAGAGCTGCTGCTGCTGTCGCTGCTGCTTCTGCAGTTGCAGCTATTGCTGCTGCAGCTGCTGCCAATGCTGCTGCTTTGGCTCGGCCTGAACGTCTGCCTATGTCCCAGCCGAAGCTAGCAATCTTAGGGGTGACAGTACCGAAGCTGCAAGTCCGTTCCGAGGCTAAAGATGGCGACAAGAAGGCCGAGAGTGAGGGTGGGAGTGATGAAGGGAGTGAGAATAGGAAAGGTGGAGGGAGTGAAAGTAAGAGTGAGGGAGGGAGTGAGAAAACAGGTTCTGATGCTCTGGAGAATGGTTCCACAACTGAGGGAAAGGTGGAGACAATAATTCCGCCAGCAAGTGGAGGGCCTAATGGGAAAGCCTCAGTTGAGAACATCATTGCCACTGCTAAAGGACCTGTTGTGTTGCCTGATGTTGAGGTGGCAGCAGCAGCAGCAGCAGCAACAGCAGCAGCAGCAGCAGCAGAGGCAGCCGCACAAGCAGCAGCAGAGGCAGCATTAGCAGGAGTGAAAGAAGCCATTGCAATCGCATCAAGGGACTTTGAGGAGACTGTTCGCAGGGGTGGTGTTCCGGACGCGAGTCGGGACCCACTGTTCATTGCAGATATAGGGGAGGACAGGGAGGAAGCTGGGTGGGGAGATAGATCAGAATTTGGCCTCAAGCATGCTGGATAATCTGCTACCGTAATACCCCGGATATAAGACCCGGGGGCATTATAAGAATCCCACCCCAAAAATGAGGGGGGGTCTTAACAGTTGGCTACATTTTATAAGACCCGGGTCTTATCATAAGGTCATTTATACTACTTGTATTTTGGAAGTTATACATGTCAACACTATGTGCTTAGTTTTTAGCATAAGAAGGGAATACGCGCAATGAAATTTGTGTTTAGCATCCAAATTATTACACGAAATTGACATGATGATGAGTATATGTGCTTTTGTGACTGGTTTTACCCCTCGTTAATGAAAATCTTATAAAATTTGGTGTGGAAAGGGGCAGAAAAGCTATCAGAATTGCATTCATTGCCAATAAAACGACCGATTCTCTAGGGGGAGGGGGGTCTTATAATGTTAGCCCCCATTTAGGGGGGTATAACAAAAACGACCTATTTAGCGTACCCCCCTCCGTATTATAGACCCGGGGGTCTACAACTGGAGGGGGTCTTATATCCGGGGTATTACGGTAGGTGGATTAGGAGGCCTTTCTGGCAGGGCAGGACTCAGTCCTGTTGACCAGACAACTTTGTGACAGGCAGGTCAAATGCCATCTAGGCATGTCACAGCTGCAAGAGCACTCCTTCTGGATGTTTCAGGAGTTCCTTACAACCATACGTGGTATGCTTTCCAATCAAGACGTTGATAAAAAGTGACAACTCGCATGCATGAAGTCACATAACAGAATAATATCACAAAAGATCAGCTAAGGATCCGTCCAACCTCACGTCTTTGAACATGGAGACTTCTCTTTCATAGTCTTCAATGCAGAAGACCTCCTTGGCTTGGTATGAAAGCTGCGCACGTGACTCGTGACTTCCACAAATCTTCTCAAGCTGGGAAAGAACCCTTGCCTGGGTATCCTTTTCTACGGCTGAAGCTGGTCGGTATCGGTTCACGAATTCCAACAGGCTTTGTAATGTCTTCTTGCTTTTCAGAGCACCAACCTTGGCTGAGTCAAGCTGAGTCCAGGAATCAATCTTAGAGACCAAATTTTTGGAGGGATGCAGCTTTGGGAGAAACTGTGCTGCTTCACTTTGTCCCAGCCTCAGGAGCTGCAGCACAGAGCTTCCAAGCTCTTCAGTTTCAAGGTCGCAAGGAGCTAGCACCTCGTTAACAAGAGTCCTTGCAAGGCTGTCCTTTCGGTCCCTTGGGCACTGCTTGAACATACTCAATACCAAAACACAGCGGCTCTTTGCGTTTCCGTCCATCAACTGTGTAACCAGCTCCTTCATCAAGCCCTTGATCCGAGTATCCTTGTGCAGCAGCCCCACAGCCAGCCGCTTCATGAATCCTTGTGCCTTCATTTTCTTAGAAAGAAGCAGATGCGCATAGACAGCATACGCCTCCAGTTGCGCATCACTGGTGTCAGAATCCATCAGGCTATTCACTCCATCCAATAAGTCTGGGAACTCATTCGGAGAAGTGAGGATTAGTTTGGCCACAGTGGCAAGTGCAGCGACCTTCACCGGTTTCTCCTCATCCTCTAAGAGTCGTGTGATTAGAGTGCAATGCCGCTTTGCAAGGTCAATAGACAGCAAGAGAAAGCTACTCAAGCTTCTCAATGCTGCCAGTCGCACAGCAAGTGGAACATCACTTTCGGAGGCAAGCGAGACGAGTATGGGGATATAGCATCTCGGCATGAAATTCCCATCCAGAAGCAGTTGCGAAAAATGCTGAGCCGCATCTGCACAGATTGTTGAAATTCATTCATAGATGTGCCAAAGCCAGAAACGCAGGCAAATGGTATTTCACGTACCTTCTTCTTGCGCCTTCAGATCTTCATGTTGCAGATAATCGAGTTCTGCATTCTTGGATTCACCTCTGCTTGTACGCAGGCGCTTCATGAAGATATCAGAAGCCACCTTGTACCGTTGAGAGAGGTGGCCAATAAGTTCGAGGAATGTAACTGTAACTTTTACATTCTGCTCTTCTTTCCACAGACCATTATGCTCCATAAAGGTTTGAAGAACCCTTTGGGATATTTGAACTGAGGTTTCCAATGAAAAAACACAGTTCATGGTCTCCTCAAGAAAACTTTCCGACAGTTGGTTGAAATCTTTCACAAAAATCTGTTGAAGCTCAACTCCAGTGCACTGTCCAGACTGCAGGGCGGCTGCAAAAGCCTGCAATGGGAACAAAGTAAGTGGGATGAACGCACACCTTCAAGTGAGCTGAAAGAACCCCGCCATACCTTCAAGCACCAAGACACCATATGTCTGGAAGTTTGTTGTTTCTCCTGGCTGGTCTTGAGGAAAGTTTGAACAGCTCGCTGAAGATGCTTGACCATGGATGAATCATATGTACTGGGTCCTTTTTGTTCAGTGCAGGTTGGGGCGAAAAGCCAAATGATCCTGAAAGGTGATGCACACCCGTTCGAGAGACTTTCCGCTTGCGAAATGCGAGAAAAGGCTTGGTCCACAATCTTCCTGTAGGTTTTGATGATGGCGTGATTGCGGGAAGCCTCATCCCTCAGAAAATCCTTCACTGTTGCCAAGGATGTCTCCGAACATTTCACAGAAAACTCCGCCCAGCGTTCATAATCATTGAGATAGCAATGAATGACTCTGCTTGCCACAGGCCGCGATGGTCGGCTAAGGCCAACGTTAAAGAGATTTGCCAGCTCCTCATACACCATTTGATGCGGAAAAGTTAACAGACAGAGCACTTCACCAACACCTTCCCAGGTCTCCACACACATAAGACCTGATTCTGGCGGAACTGATATCAGCCTTAACAGAGCGTCCATAAGTGGCTTTAACTTTCCGACATGATCCCCCCGGGTATGAAAAGACAAGAACGGCTTTGAGAGGCTAACAGCTTTCAGCCTGACAAGCTTGCTTTTGTCGCACAGCGCTGATGCTAATGCTTCTGAAATAACCTCTGTCAATTCCGTGCCGTGATGATTTTCCGGTTTCGCAGCGGCGACGAGAGAGGTTATAGCCTGTAGTCGACATATCGCAGAGCGGTTGTTGAGCAGAGCTTGCAAAAGCTTTACTAGTGCGAGCGAGTCGCTTTTGCTGATCCGATGGCTTTGCTCTAGGCAGCTTCCGACGATGCTGATGTAGTGCTTACGAACAGAGGCTCTTTCGCAAGTCAACATCAGCGATAAACGATCTGGAGTAGGAAAACGTCACATTTGAACGAACATAGAAGATCACGAATAAAAGTAGACATTACATACGTATTCAAACGGACTTACCCAAATAAAGGCCTGTTATGATCAACGCGTCTTTTCCGCAAGATGCTCGCTTCGCCAGCTTGGATGCGAGCGACTCTGTACGACAAAATCAGTTTCCTTCAACCATTGTTTCAAGCACTAACTTCGCATTGGCTTACCAAGTTTGTTCCACGAGTCAACGTCCAGAGTACCTCGTGACGCCAGTGACTCTATCGCAGCAACATCCAATGACTGCGAACACAATCGGCATTGTCATTGGCTGCTCGGAATCTATGAAAGCAACAGGAATAACTGACCAGCTGTTGCAAGGAATCCACTTCAGTGCGTTTGACTGCCTGGGTCAGACAGTTGATGGAATGATAGGGCGAGTGTGGTGATTTGCTGCTGAATCCTGATGGAAGTTGCTCTACCCAGATTGGAAAGGTGTTGTGACAGGAAGCTCGTTGAACGGATACATATGTGTGGGTCCACAATTTCTAGGAGACCCCGAGCGCGTACATGAAAAGGTTCAAGATGCCGTTACAGTATTCTCGTCATGCAGCGAATTGTCATTGTGTCGCTAATCCTCGTTGTGGCTTGAAAATAACTGGTAACTGACGACCAGATATCAATTTGCGTTCTATTTCCCAGACAGTGTTCGTGCCCTGGGTATGACCTATGGCATAGCCATGACGTACCGTACACCGGGTGTCATGGAGCTCTTGCAAGGCAGACGAACCACAAGTTTCAGAGTCAAGCCATTATAAACAACATCCTTCGATGTCAAAGCGAACTGGATTTGATGCGAATGGACTCAAAAGCCGCCAGTTGAAGCGATGATTATCCTGTCACCATTTCTAGCGTAAGGAAGGAGCTAGCACAAGGAAGGCTCATGATGGCAGAAATGGCTGCACGCGGTCGAAGAAGAAGAAATCCTTCATGGCGGTCCGAATGCGTACTGTTCCTTCTATTCTTCCTAGTCCTCGCCGCGAGCCGGGACATCGCCGTTGGAGTCCGCGCAAACGCCGCGGCAGAGCGACGAAAGGAGATGGATCAGATGCTGCAAGCTCAAGTGAGAGGAAGTAGACGATTTTTCTGTGCCTGAGTCTATTCCAGATCTTATGCTGACCTAAAGTGTAGGCCGACGCTGGTGATGCTGCCTCGTGGAGTAAGTTCCGGCGAGGACGAGGTGCAATGCAAGCATCCGCCTGAGAGCTGTTTTCCCTGCCCGCGGAGAATTCTGAGACGTTTCAAACTCTGAGACGTCTCAAAATTGATGATGCGTCATCATACTGTCACCAATCTGAGAGTTGTTTCCCCTGCCAGTGGCGAATGTGTCAATTCTATTTCTCTAAGCTGTCTTGTCATCATGGATTAACTGTACATGTAAGGATGAGACCACCTGGCATTCTCAATTTGCCGCCTCCTTTGATTTTGCTCTCTGAGCTTGCATATATCCCCACCTGTCCCCTATTTGTCGCTCTATTTGATTCCTTGCCCTGCATCATCTCCACCAGGTGGATAAGATGCTGGCGACATTTGAAAAGGATGCTGACGTGGCATCGCTGACTCAGCAGCAGACGTCATGCTCTTGCTATCACATTCGCAATGATTACTGCTGTCACCAGTACATGTGCATCTGCTCGCCCATGTGCTGGAACGGCTATGAGGTGAATGAGGGTCTGGGGGGAATGAAGCTTTGAGGGGATGAGGCTGTGAGATGAATGAGGCTATGTGGTGAATGTGAATAATGCAACGTCTCACCAGCATAGGCCTCTACTGCTGCCACCAGTACATGTGCATCTGCTCGCCTATGTGCTGGAACGGCTATGAGGTGAATGGGGGTATGAGAGGGATGAGGCTATGAGGGGAATGAGGCTACGAGGGAATGAGCCTATGAGGGGAATGAGGCTACGAGGGACTGAGGCTATGAGCTGAATGTGAATAATGCTACTGCTCACCAGCATGTGTCACTGCTGCCACCAGTACTTTCGCATGTGCGTGCTCATTTGTTGGAAACTGCTATGAGGTGAATGCAGTGGCGCACATGGGTATCAGGTGAATGCACCCACGCCATCTCCCAACACCAACCCTAACACAGCACCCCAATTCCCCGTGGACCACACACACCACCAGGAAAGATTCGCATCACCACACTTGTCGTGATTCATATCAGTCGACTCAAAAGTCAGCAGCAGATCACGCAGCATCCTAACCCCCCTTGGAGGACCACACATGCACTCAGGTACGTTTTACATCACCACCCTCGTCATGATTGTTTCCATTCCCATTCCTCCTTCCAGCTTATTTCTCTCGGTCAACCCAAGTGCGCGCCAGCAGCAGAGCACACCGCACCTCCACCCGGCCAGGACCCCATTCTCTCCCCCGTAGACTGCACGCACCAGCGCGAATTCACCTCCGCACTCTCGGATATCGTCTCCATAACTGCAGAAGCTCGCTTGGCTGAGCGAAGCGCAGGCGGGAGGGGGGGCGGAAGGGGGGATGGTGGGGAAGGGTGGTTGGGGAGCCGGAGGGAGGTGGACTGGCAGTTTGGGCTGACCATGCTTCAGCGGTTCAATGACAGCTCCGTCAACCTCTCCCACTTTGCAGGTAGGTTTTTCAGTTAGCAGGTAAGTAAATCTGGTAGGAGGTGTCTCAGAACTTGTTCGGAGTCTTTATCTCCACTTTGCAGGTAGGTATCCAGTTCTAAGGCATGTCAGATGATCCCGATGCCTTTCACTTGAACTTGAGCCCTTTCAGGTGATTTTGTTACATTATAGAGTGGTTTGGGCCAAGTCAAAACTTCCTTGTCTATCTACCTCTCCCCCTCCCCCCATCTCTGCTCTTTCATCAAGTACCTTTTTTGTCCTGTTGGGTTGTCCTCCTTGGTAGGCTGAATTTGTTGGTCGACTCAAGCTCCCCTGTCCATCCATAATCACCCTCTCTCGTTGCTTCTATCAATCCCCTCTCTGTCTCGTTAGTTTTTTTTTTTTTTTTTTGTGTGTGTGTGTGTGTGTGTGTGTGTGTGTGTGTGTGTGTGTGTGTGTGTGTGTGTGTGTGTGGAAGGCTTGAACATGGCTGCACCTCATACTCACACGTCCTTTTGCTCCTCCCTGTCTCCTACCTGCCCCCTCTGCCCATTCTCCCATCAAAACGCAGAGAAGGCTCTCACAGTTCCCCCGCCCAAAAGCTTCTCTGGTTTTGATGCCAGGAAGAACGCCAATCCCTCCTGTCAAGTCTCGTCCTCTCTTCCTTGCAGAGAAGGCCCTCACGCTCCTCCTGGCCACCAACTTCACAGCGTGCCAGCTCTGCTGCGCTGCGTGGTCACTTCCCTTGCAACAGCCTCATGCTGTGAGATATGCTGTATCACCCTGTCTGTCCCTCTCCCCGCCCTCACAGAGAAGGCCCTCACACTCCTTCTGGCCAACAACTTCACGGCGCCAGCCCTGCTGCGCCCCATGGTCACTCGCTTCATGCTCCCTCGTGAGGAGCTGGTTCTAGAAAAGTGAGCATTGAGGAGTGAGCAGTGAGCACATGTTAGGTTGGTTGAGCCCTGTAGGACACTGCAACTCGCATAAGGCCCTCAGCGGCTCCTTCATGCCGTGCTACACCCCTTGGTCACTCGCTCCATGCTCCCTCGTGAGGAGCTGGCTCTAGAAAAGTAAGTAACTGCGTGGGTTAGGATGCACCCTACAGTGTGAGCCCTGTAAGATACTGCAACTCGTTTAAGCCCCTGAGCGGGCCCTTCACTCCGGCTCTTCTACACGCCATGGTCACTCGCTTCATGCTCCCTTGTGAGGAGCTGGCTTTAGAGAAGTGAGCATACACTGTGATTCACTTAGGCCTTGAGTGAGTGGGTCATTTATGATGTTTCTGCAACGCCCCATGGTCACTCGCTTCATGCTCCCCCGCTGGGAGCTGGCTCTAGAAAAGTAAGCACACGGTGGGTGAGTCATGTAGGGCACTGCAACTCGCTTAGGGCCCTCAGCGGGCCCTTCATTCCAGCTCTGCTGCGCCCCATGGTTACTTGCTTTATGCTTCCTCACAAAAAGCTGGATCGAGAAAAGTGAGTGGGCGCTTCAGTTAGGGTGAGCCCTGTGGAGCACAAACCCTAAACCCTAAGCAGGAGCTTTTTGGCCGCTGCGACTGGCTTAAGCTGCTTTACCACGGCTCTGCTATGCCATGATCACTTTCTTCAATCTCCCTTGGGAGGAGCTGGCCGTTGAACGGCGAGCAGTGAGCAGTGAACGCACGTTTGAATCGGCAAGCTTGTCCTTGCCACAAAAGTCACATCCCCTTTGTGTCACATTCGCTTGTTACAAAACCCTTTGACACAACCTCTTGTGTCACGCACCCCCTCTGTGTCACGTATCTAGGATGAGAATGAAGGGAGGCGAAGCGGTGCACGCGCGGTTGCTGCAGGCAATGATAGAGTTCGCCGTCACGCCCGTGCTCTCCCCTCGCATCCACATGTCTCGCCAACTGTACGTTGCCCTCGCATTAATGACTTTTAAGGCGCCTCAAAATCACGCCCGTGCTCTCCCTCGCATCCACATGCCTCGCCAACTGTATGTTGTTCCTCTCACCAATGCTTGCATACTTGCAATCTCTGCGTCCTTGTTCTATCTGCTTCCTTGCTCTATCTGCATCAGTGCTCTTCTGGCGTTTTTACTCACCCATGCTCTCCTTTTAACCTTGCTCTCCCTGCACCCTTGCTCTCCCTGCACCCTTGCTCTCCCTGTACCCTTGCTCTCCCTGCACCCTTGCTCTCCCTGCACCCTTGCTCTCCCTGCACCCTTGCTCTCCCTGCACCCTTGCTCTCCCTGCACCCTTGCTCTCCCTGCACCCTTGCTCTCCATGTACCCTTGCTCTCCCTGTACCCTTGCTCTCCCTGCACCCTTGCTCTCCCTGCACCCTTGCTCTCCCTGTACCCTTGCTCTCCCTGTACCCTTGCTCTCCCTGCACCCTTGCTCTCCCTGTACCCTTGCTCTCCCTGCACCCTTGCTCTCCCTGCACCCTTGCTCTCCCTGCACCCTTGTTCTCCCTGTATCCTTGCTCTCTCTGTATCCTTGCTCTCTCTATATCCTTGCTCTTCCGAATTCCCTGCACACTCTCCATCCCTGTATCCCTGCTCCACACCAGCCACGACCACAGAACACTGGGAGATGCCCCCATGGCATTCGGGCTGGTGGAATTCGAATCCGCATGGAACGCCGCCACCGAAGCCCGCCCTCTCTGCTTCGAAAGGCTCCTCCTCCCGGGGGTTCTCAAGGGGCAGGCATTCCCGTCCCACCCCACCCAGGGGACCTTCCTGGACCGGCACCTGCGGGCGAAGCTAGGGTTGGATCCGCCTGGAAAAGTGGAGTGGGGAAGGGATGGGGTGCGGGGGTGGCGGCCTCGAGTGTTGTATATCACACGGCTGGGAGCGGAGTTGAAGCTTCGTCGCACCTTCCTGCCGGAGAGTCATGAGGCGCTGCTGAAGCTGATGGAGGAGCTTGGGTTGCAGGTGAGCTCCTGGTTGGCGTCTTGGTGAGTTGCTGGTTGGTTCCTTGTAGTCTCCTGGTAGGTTCCATGCAGTCAGGCCTCGGAATGTGGTGTGGGGCAGCCCAAACATGTTGTAAGTGAATGCATTTAACGAGTGGAAAGGGCATCTAAGAACGTGGTGTAAATGTCTGTGACTATAGGTGATTGTGCTATATGTGGTTATTGCTATGGATGACACTACAACTCCTTGGTGGTTACACTCTTTGGTGTTCATATAACTCCCTACATGTTCATTCTTCAGGTGACAATGGTAGAGATGGGTCAATTGACATTTCGCCAGCAATTCGAAGCCATTCAATCCGCTGACATTGTGATTTCCCTGCATGGAGCTGCCCTCACCAACGTGGCTCTCTTCGCCCGCCGCACCACCGCATTAATCGAGGTAATGCCGTACGGCGTCGTGCACGAGCTCTACTACTCGCTCTCGCTTAACTCGGGCATTCCGTATTTTCTCAAGATGTGCCGCAAAGGGGAGGCACAGGAAGGAGACTTGGCAGAATTCGAGGGGTTGAGCTACAAGGAATGCATGCACAAAAACCTTGCATGCAAGTGGCACCACATCCACATACGGCGGATCGAACTCACCGACCGGGATTTAATGGACTTGAAGAAGATGCTCCTGGTTGCAAAGGATATTGTTGGAGCAAAATTGGGAGGGTTTGGCAGAGACTTGCAGTCTGGGGAGCTGCCTGGCTGGGCTGTAGAGAGGTTTGGGGGCATGTGTGTTGCTAGGGATGTGGACTTGTATGGTGAAAGGAGTGATTTTCTTAGGGTGCCTAATCCAGGGAAAGCGACTGAAGACCTTATTTGTGTGTTTTCAAGAGGCGATGCCTAACATGCATATCAAACCATTTTCTCCTGGATAGTACCGTGGTGGATTTCAGGGATGTGCTCTTTTGCTGGACTCAAAGTATCACATGTGGCGCTTTTACGGTACACAACGCATGTGAATTGTAATCTGGGTCCTTGCATTTTTGTTCCCCCGTTCAATTTTCGGATTGCTACGGTAATGGTGAATGCTAATGGCGAAGACGAATAATGGTGCTGCTAATCTCTCATTCAAGTTTTCTCTAGATTCTGCTTCACCTGTTAGCAATTCGCATTTCGTCAAATTCTAGCCGTTCCTCGTCTACTAGATATCTCGTGTCTGCGTCCTTTTCCTTTTCGGCAGCCTTCGCAGCTTCTTCGGCAGGAAAGTAGCGCACTTCTTGAAACAGGGTAACCGAGGCCACACGAAATAGGACTCCTGTAACGAGAGCTCAGGGTTGTTACAACTCTGCGGAACATCTGGCTTGTTCTTGCAGCGAGCGTCAGGCGTCCACGTCGACCATGTCGCAACCCGGCACATGCTCGCATGACCATGACTGTAGCGATCATGACTGTGGGGCTGGCTTCTCCCTTTATAAGAATGTCGACCTCCCTAAGGTGATTATCCTTTCCTGCTTTTTTTCCGGCATGCTCTCCCCTCCTTTCCGCTAACCCTGCTTTCGTCTCCCGCTCGCTCGCCCTGCTCGTCCTTTGGTCCTGCTCTCACCTACTCTTCTCTTGCCCAGTTCGCCGCCTCTCTCTTTCAAACGAAGGTTTTACTTTCTATTCTCCGTTCCGGCGCACTTTCTCTCCCTCCTTAATCCCTCCCCCGCCCACCACCCCCCCCCTGGCCCCTCCTTTTTCCCTTCCTCCCTCCACCCGCCCCTGCCCTCCCTCCATCCATCCCTCATAAATTTTCTCAAAGGCCAGTTAAAGTAACGGAGGGGAACGCCAAAGCCTTCTACCACACCTGGAAATTTTAACGGCGTTCCCTTCTTGCATCCCTTTTGTCTCTTTATCCCCTTTCTTATTCCTTCCCCCCTCCCCTCCACTCGCTCTTTAGATGCGAGCGCCCAACGAGGTAGCAGAGGGGAGCGCCAAGGGCATGTTTCAACATCAGAAGTTTGCGCAATGTGTTTCATTTTCAGTTCTTAACCTCTTCCCTCTCCTCCGTACACTCTCCCAACATAACCTCGCGTCAGGTGCGAGCACTGAATGAGGCAGTGGAGGGGAGCGCAGAGGGCGTGTTCCGCAGCTGGGAAGATCGCATGACCTTTCCAAGTGTAAGCTGCTCTTGTAAGTTTTTGTGACTGTGCTCAAACGTGTGCACATATAAGCTCTTTGCATTCCTAGAACTTTTGGGGCAGCATTTCTTCCTCATGGTGGTTCAAACTTCAGTTACTTCCCCAACAGTTATGGAATCTTTCATGAGCTCTGCTTCCTGCCGATGTATTAAAATATAATATTTTAGTATGCACATTTGACTTTCCATCTTTCCGTTATCGTCAGTTTCCCTTTTGTCCGTTTTCTTCCCTTCCCTCCCTTCCCACCCACTCCCATCCTCTTCCTTACCACCCTCTTGCATGAACCCAGCAACCAATGGACAGTAACGAGGATGATCCAGAGCTGATACTCTTTATTCCGTGAGTCAGTCTGCCTGTTTCAGTATTTCTCTGTTGTTTGGGATTTTTAGTTGTGGATTCAACATCAATGATTTGGATGGAGCTCGATTTCTCCACTCTGTGATTGTGTAATTCCTTCGGTTTTGGATAATGCATGATTCAGGTCTTGTCTCTCTTACTGAAGAGGGCTTTCCATTTGGTTGAGAAGATTAAGGGCAGTGCAGTGAAGGGCACTCTTGGTGCCGCTGTATTCATTTGCAACTGCTGTACTGTACTACTGTTCTACTGTACTAATGTGTGCAGATTCACAACCGATGTGAAGATCAAGAGCATCGCCATTATTGGGGGAGCAGATGGGACCAGCCCTGCAAAGATGCGAGCGTAAGTGTATCTTTCTTAGTGCATCTTCCTGTAACAGCATGATTTCAAATATCAATGATAAACTTTAGATCCATTTTCCTCCACTTCTCTCGCTTCACCTCACTCTCCCCTCTCCTTCCATCTCTCTCCAAGCAGCTTCATAAATCGTGAGGACGTTGATTTCTCTGTGGTTAATGATCTGACTGCAGTGCAGGTAACATTTGATAGTCACTAAGGTAACATCTCTCACCCAAGTGTATGTTTTTTGGTGACCACAGATCACTGCACGACTTACAATGTTTTCCACACCTCTATTTTTTTGTTACGCACACAGATTTTTATCCGTTGATGCATCTGTCACCTATACGTGTGTCTGATTGTTTGTGGCCAGGAATGGGATCTAACTGAGGACCTTCAAGGCGAGCTCGAGTACACCACCAAGTAAGGCCATTCGCCCTTATTGTCGCCATCTCATCGGTATTCTTCTTATGACAGTGAAACTATTTCCCTGAACAAGTTCATAAACATGGCCACTCGTGATGTATCCATTACTATGACGTCTAATCGGTGCGAATATCCGTCACACATTGGTGTGAGCATTGATTGCGTCAAACGAATGTTACCATTTCATGTCAGGGCAAACCGTGTTACATCTCATTGACCCAAATTCTGCGGAAGTCCGCTTTTCCCCCATTTCATTTTCCCAGTGAGTGGTGTGTCCCTTTCTTTACTCCAGTTCTCCGCATCCCATCCCATCTCCCCTTATCCTCCACTCCAGTCACCTCACCCCCATCCATTCCTGTTCGTCCCCCAATTCCGTCCTTCCTCTCCCTCCCTCCCCTCTCACCAGATTCTCCAAGTTCCAGGGCGTGTCCTCTCTCACCCTCCATTTCCCTTCAAATTTTGGGGGTGATTTCTCTCGGATCCACTTCGTGGGACTCAAAGGAGAGGCCACTCAGGTATGGGAGGAGTAGGAGTCGTAAGGAGAAAGTTGAGAGAGGTGTGTAACAAACGAATGCTGAACGGGCCACTCAGGTTTGGGAGGAGGAGGAGTTACAAGGAGAAAGTTGAGCGACGGCCTAAGAGTTACAAATGCTGGATGAACTCCAGGGATCAGCTACTCAGGAAGAGGAGTAGGAGGAGTATGGCTAAAAAGGATTCGTATTTGTGAGAGGAGGACTGGTGGGCTGGCGAGGACAGGATTCATCTTTGTAGCCCTGGAGGCACCTGCCTGTGTTGTCTCATTCGTGCCACCATACACACATGCCCCCCCTTCCCTCCCACCTCCTACCCTTTCTCCGCCTGGTGCGTGCTCAGAACAATCGGAGAGCGGTGGCTGCAGTTGTGTACGAAGCACAGGCCAACCCCAGTGACCATGAGTAATCACACATGGCTTCAACCAAACACACCAACCACCCACCATTGTTCACCTCTTCACACCCGCGTCTGTCCCTTGTGTACCATAAAATTTGGAATGGTTTCGGCTGCACCCGTACTGGTTCCAGAATTCACAGCCCACAATGACACCCTGTTTTGTTTCTCGTCTTTTACCTATCTGGGCTGCCCCTTGTGTTTTGTGGAATGATGCTTATGAGCGAAATTGTGCCTGTGTTGGTTCTTATCATTGTGTTTCTCAGGGTTCCGGCTGACATGGGAGTCCCCAAGGTGCTCCATCATTAGGTATAAAGTATACAGGGTCTCCATCTTTTGTGGGTGTGGGTTTTGCTCATATGATATCTCTCTGTTTAGGAATTAGGGTACTCAGATTCTAGCTCATTGCTTACAAGGGGTACTTTGGGGGTATTTTTGCCCCTTTCCTAACAAGGTAAGATATTTTGGCTCGAACTAAAGCCTTTTCAATTTGCTATGTGCAACGATTTGTATGAGCACATGGTTATCTTTCTATGTTCAGTAATGTAACAGATTTGTCGAACACAATTATGAAGCACAACGGATAAATTGGATGTGGCTAGTACAGCGTACAGCGAACGTGTCGTTCTGAGCGCGATAGCAAAACGCCAGAAATATTGTGTCAGCCACCAGGCACCTGAGAACACAGAAATAGAACCGACAGGCACACTCGGTAGGTGCGTCGCCATGCTACGCTCGTTCGAGCAAGGCTTTGAGTATTATTTTTAGAAGAAGGGGTTCCATATCCTCTTACGGGTATGCTCTAAGATCTTAGCAGGCGAAAAAGGCTCTCCAAGCATCGAGAATGAGGCTCAGGCTACACAATGTGGGTCGTGGATTCTTGGCGTCGTTCGCGATTCAACTATTTTTCCTTGTTTTCGCGTCTGCTGAGTCTTTTGATGCATCTTCCATCGGAGTCTGTTGGGGAAGAGTAGCATGGCAGCCATTACCTCCCCGAATCGTTGTGAAGCTTCTTCAGGTAGGTGTACTATTTCGTTTCCTTAACATGATCCGTACTTAGGATGTGCGTCCGATTCTTATAGCTTCTCTACAGGACAACAAAATATCGAAAGTGAAACTTTTCAATGCTGACCCGCAAGTCATGAAGGCCCTCGTTGGGTCCAAGTTGGAGGTAGGTTTCCTTTTCCCCTGCATTTTGCAACGTCCTTCTGCTCGGCAGTGTCCCTGATTTCTTTCTCATTAGGTGACGGTGATGGTAGCCAATGAGCTGCTGAACGACATGGCCATGAGTCCTAAGAAGGCTCAGGACTGGGTTGACTATAACGTCAAGAGATACGCGTTCCCAGGAGGCGCCGATATAAGGTAAGATTACCACCACTTGGCCAAGAGGCATGTTGAGCCCTTCGTCTGCGGCTAAGCGTGAACCTCTTTTCGTCTCAGATACGTCTCTGTCGGAAATGAGCCGTTTCTGACATGGGACAATGGAGAGTACAACCTCGTTTTGGCGCCAGCCGTTCAGAACATCCAGCAGCTGGATTGGACCAGAAGATTAAGGTTACTGTCGCGTTCAATGCTGACGTCATGGGAACGTCATACCCTCCATCTAAAGCATCTTTCCGGCCAGACATCGCCAATCAGATGCGAAGAATTGTCTCACTATTCAGTGAAACCGGAGCCCCGTTTTCCGTAAATATCTACCCATTCCTTAACTTATATCAGCAACCAGGAGTCTTCACAATGGGTGATATTTTCCTGGATAGACCGAACGAGCGGAACTTCACAGACCCAGGGACTGGCTTGGTCTACACGAATGTGTTCGACAGCACTTACGATGCCATCTTGACAGCACTATCAAGGATCGGCTTTCCAGATGTAAGAGATCAAGTCTTTTTTCTCTGGTGTACCTTGTGGCATACTGACCGCTCCACTTGTTTGCTCACAGCTACAAATCATTATTGGTGAAATTGGCTGGCCTTCTGATGGGCAAGGTTCACTCAATGCATATGCCAACAATGCGTATGCACAAGAGTTCAACAATGCCATCATCCAGCACATGTTAAGCGGATCAGGCACGCCTTTGCGCCCTGCCAAGCAGATTGGAGGATTCATTTTTGGGTTACTGGATGAAGACATGAAAAGCACACTACCTGGAACCTTTGAGCGCCATTGGGGAATCTTCCGTGCCGATGGAACCCTAAAATACAACTTAGACCTCACAGGGAAAGGCAATCCGAATTCTCAGCTTGTGCCAGCAAAGGACGTGTCTTTCTTTTCACGACAGTGGTGTGTGGTGAAGCAAGGAGCCAACCCTGCAAATGTTGCAGCTGCTTTGACATACGTCTGTGGGGGGGATAAAAGTGTGGATTGCACTCCAATTCTTCCAGGAAGTTCATGCTACTTCAACAACAAACTGGAGGACGTTGCTTCATACGCTTTCAATTCATACTACCAGCTTCAGAACCAAAGCCAAGCATCCTGTGACTTTGGGGGTTCTGCTCAGGTTGTCAGCACTGATCCATCAAAGGATGGGTGCATCTTCTTTATTGGCATGGATCAAGCCAGCATGCTGAAAGCCTCTTCAAGGAAACACTGGATCACTCTGACACATGCAGCCTTTGGCAGTACCTTGGCAATGCTGCTGATATGGTTCCTTTGATTTATGCAAAGGGGGGGTGATTAACCAGGCACCACAATCACAGCCTTGTTTTAGAATTGAGTGGAATGGTCAGAGTTGGCTTAGGGTAATGGTGAATGTTTTACGTTTGTGTGTGGCAGGTAGGTGCTGCAAGGTTATGGTGCTACCGGTACTTTACAGTACTGCTGATAACAAGCAAGTATGCACTGTTCAGACATTGAGAGAACCTGTCTGTCACCTAAAGCAAATACGGTACGGTACATGTGATCATGTCCTGTCACCACCACAGGCTGTAATTGTAGTGTAGTTGCTTGTTTTTATGAAAAGGCAAGTGTTTACATGCTGCAATATCAAGATTGTTATACCGTAGGTCATGTTAGAAAATCAGTGGGATGGGAAGCCTAGCAGTCAGTACGAGCAATGCAAAATTGAACACCAGTGTAGCGTAAACAGGCATCCGAACCCAGGCGAATTACATCAGTAGATGTACCACTATGTTCTATCACCATTGATATGAAGGCAGGTAAGGTGGGGGAGTCACAGCTTCTCCCGCAGGTGGGGACAAGAATGCAGGTGAGGGAGGAGGGGGATACGCAGGCGGGGGAGGAGTGAAAGGTGGTGGTGCTGCTGGGAGAGGTGGAGGCGGAGAAGATGCAGGATAGGGGTATAATGGAGGGGGGGGTCCGGGAGGCAACGGGGGATAAGAAGAGCTGTCAGGCAGGGGAGGGGGAGGGCCAGCAGGAAGAGGCGGAAGAGGAGGATGGTTGGTTGTTCCAGGCGGGTAGAGTGTTTGTGATGGCGGGAGGTAAAGCATAGGAGCGGGAATTGCAGTGGGCTGGGTAGGAGGTGGGGGCTGAGGAGGATAGATCACAGACTGGCCATGACTGTACGTATACTGCAATGGTACTTGCGAATATCCTGGAGTCTGGGTGAAAGCTGCTGCTGCTCCGGAATAAGTGGTGGTTGAAGGTGGTGCTTCAGCGATAGCTCCTCTTGCTGCTGACCCTTGATTGTAGTCTTGGTACGTGTCCAGCTGCACATCACCGCCACCATCATCGCCACACTCACTCTCAATCCCAGCCGCCCATGACAGCACCGCCGAACTAGCACTAGCACCGACAACCCCCCTTGCGTCTTTAACCACTCCCACAATCCCTTCCCCCCTTGGAGGGGCAGCCTCAAAAGCAGAGAGAAAAGCAGAAGGCGGACTGGTAGCAGCACCACACGCACCTCCATATCGATCATTGGCTGAATTGTCATGTCGCCGTGATGATGTGTCGTAGCGGGATTGGTCCAGATAAGCCCCGTAGGAGCTGCTGCTGCCCACATGCCACCTGTCACGATCCAACTGCCACCGGTCAGAATCTGTGTCGCCAGCTCTGCTTCTCTCTCTTCCCTCATATGCACCTCTGTCATCCTCATGCCTAATAGGGCTCCACTCCTCCCTCCTCTTCTCATCCGCGTCCCTCTTTCTGTCGCTGCTCCTGTCTCTGTTCCTCTCCCTGCTCCAATCTTTGCTCCTCTCCTTACTCCTGTCTCTGTTTCTGTCCCTGCTCCTGTCTCTTCCTCTCTCCTTGCTTCTGTCTCTGCCCCTTTCCTTACTCGTCTCTCTTCTCCTCTCCCTGCTTCTCTCCTGCCGCCTCTCCCTGCTTCTGTCCCTTCCTCTCTCTCTGCTCCTGTCTCTGCCCCTCTCCCTGCTCCTGTCTTTGCCCCTCTCCCTGCTTCTGTCTCTGCCTCTCTCCCTGCTTCTGTCCCTTCCCCTCTCCTTGCTCCTGTCCCTTCTTCTGTCTCTATCCCCTTCCCTGTCCTTCTCACCATTCCTATCCCTTCCCGACCTTCCCTCCCTATCATTCTTACCTCCCTCTCTCTTCTCATCAGCAGAACCATCCCTAGCCATTCTCCTCCGCTTCCTCTCCCTCTCATCCTCATCCTTCCTTCCCTCCTTACCCCTCTCCCTCTCCTCCCTCTCTCGCCTCCTCCGCCGTTCCTCCTCCCACCTCTCATCCTCATACCTCAACCTCCTCCTCCTCTCACTCTCCTCCCAATCCGCCCGCCACCCCCTCCCTCCCCACGCATATTCATCCGCACCCTCAGGAGGAGGGGCATTCAGACCCGGAAACTCGACAGTAGGAACAAGGAAAGGTTCCGGTTCAGGAGTCGTTTCACGCCCCCCCTCCCCATCACCACCACCATCAGCATCAAGGGAACCTTCCTCAGAAGCATCGTCCAGCACAAGAGCAAGGGACTTGAACTCATTCGAATCTTCAACAGCAGCAGCAGCAGCAGCAGCTTTCTCGTTGACTGGTTTTCCTTCAGCGTTGGTCTCTGCTGGGATTTCTCCTGCCTCGCTATCAGTGTCCTCTCCCTCCTCCTTCGAAGCCTTCTCTGCTCCTGCTGCTGGTTCCTGGCCTTTCACCTCTGCCTTCTCCTCCTCTTGATCTGCTCATCAAAACACACACAGGAGCAGTCATTGGCAGGAAGCGTGAGGGCATCACTGCAGTTGAGCAGATTTGAAACAAAAAGAGGCTGGGAAAGAAATGGAAACCCGGAGAAAAAGCTGGTCAAAGGGAGGAACAAATCAGCTCCAGACAAAAATACAGGAGGGATAAAGGGGGGGGCGGTTGGGAGAGAACGCAATGAGCTAGAGGCCTAAGGAATCGCCCAGCCGAAGAAACGAGACAGTTTACAGCCTGGATAGCCAGGCGGGTGGCCTGGCTCTCAAATTGGGTTTCAAATTGCTCATCTTGAGATAGATCTTGAGTCAACTCCATCTAGTCGGGGCAAAACTTACAGCCAAGATAGCCAGGAGGGTAGCCCAGCTCCCTCATTCGCCTGAGCCATGGAGGGGGGTCGCGATCCTGGAGAGGAGGCGGGGATGAAAGGAAGCAAAGGGGGATGTAGAGAGTTGCGTTTTCATGGCCACAGCGAGCAAACCAGGATGGTACCCCAGTTCCCTCATTCGCCTGAGCCACGGAGGAGGGTCGCGATCCTGCAGAGGAGGGGGACACAAAAAGAAATGGAGATTTGTGAATGGGGTTTATGGTGATTAGGCAGGAGAGAAGGATGTGCGTGAGGAGGGAGGGGGGAGGAAAGCATCCCTATGTCCATGGTAACACACAGCTCCGCACGCACTCAGCACACCTGGCAGCAGCCCCTGAACCTGAACCTGAAATATCCTCCATCCCTCCTTGAGCCTCACCTTTACCAGCGCACAAACTCACCTCAAGTCCCCTAGCTTATACCAAATCACTCACCCCTATGCCCATGGCAGCACGCAGTTCCACACTCAGCACACCCGGCAGCAGCCCCTGAACCTGACCTGGACCGCCCCCTCCATCCGTCCTCGAGTCTCACCTTTACCAGCAGCAGCACGCACAAGCCCACCTCAAACCCATCTCACGCATGCCGAACCACTCACCCCTATGCCCATGGCAGCCCGCAGCTCCGCACTCAGCACGCCCGGCACGAGCCCTTCAAACCGCTCCTCCATCGATCCTCCTCTCCCCTTCCCACCCCCTGCCCCTCCAAACCCGTAATACCTCGACTTCCCCACCCCTCCCTCCCCAGCAGCACTGTTCCCGCCCTTCCCACCCTGCCCGCCCTGCCCCTTCCCCCCTGCGTGTTCTGCCCGGGCAGCTGCTACAGCTGCATGGTCCCTTGGGCGCTGACAGTCCCGCAGGGCGTGAGTGTAGGAACCGCAGTTGAAGCAGCGGGCGGCAGATTTTAACTTGAGCGCCTCTTCTGTGAGGGAGGAGTCGGAGTGGAGGAAGAGGGGTGTGAGGCTGGAAAGGTCTCCTCCTGCTGCTGCTGCTGCTGCTGCTGCTGCTGCTGTCGCTCCTGCCGCTCCTGCTGCTGCTGCTGCTGATGCTGTTGCTGCTTCTGTTGCTGTGTCAGAGGGAGCGTTAGCGTCATTTTCTGTCTCGTTACTGCCTGCACCTACACCGGCGCTCCTGCTGCTGTTGCTGCTGTAGTTGATGCCTAAAACGACGCCTGATTCTGACCTATCATAGAGAGGCACGTCGTTGGCTGTGCTGTAGTGCTTATTGAACGTGACACCACTGCGAACCCCTGCCAGAACCACACCGCTGCTGCTGAGCTTTGCCTTTGCTGCGTCACTGGCAACAACTGCGGCAGCAGCTGCAGCAACAGAGCCTGCAACAGCAGCGCTCACAGCAGCACTGGGCAAGGACTCATCACCAGTGGAATCTTCAGCAGCAGCAGGGACACCAGCAGCTTGGCCATCACCACTACGAGATGCCACAGCACCTGCCGCATCAGCACCAGCGTCAGCACGTGCATCCACAGCCGTAGCGGCACCAGCAGCACCAGGAGAGCCAGTAGAAGGTTCAGCCGCAGCAGATGGCGGTTGTAATTGCTTTGGAGGAAGTGAAGGGGAGGGCAGGGGCTTGGGTGGGGGTAGAGAAGCCCATACACGCTGCATGGGAGGAGCAAGGAGGGGAAAGGAAAGGAAAGGGGAGACGAGAAATCAAAGAGGTGAGAAATTGAAGGGAAAGAAACCGACTACGCACGAGAAAGCACGCACGCACATCAATCCAGAAAACTGGCCAGCAAAAAACACATTGGTCCAGTGTACGAGTTTAGTATACCCCGGACTGTATGCAAGGCATGTGGGCTCAACCAGGATGAAATGTATCACTCGAATTTTCAGGGCGTGAACGAACGTAACTAGGCATCCGCTCGCCCGTAGCCAAAACAACACGAGGTCAGCCAAGACCTTTCAGACCACCAAGAAGAGAGAAAAAAAAAAACCATGATTGGTGCTACAGCAAACGCCGATCCAATCCAGCCACCAAAAAAAAAAAAAAAAAACCCACCACAAAAAGAAAGCAAGCAACCCACCAGTGGTGCTATGGATCCACGCTCTGAAGCCCCAGGAGAGCGAAACGAACCCAAAGGACCAAGGCGAGAGAGCACAGAGGGGACTGCTGCAGAGGAGGGCCCAGAGGAAGGGAAGTAGACGTCCGTTCCACTCAGCCTTGTGCTCTGATGCTCCTCCTGACCCTCGCGTTCCTGCACGTGCCATCCATAAGATAGAGGAGAGGAGAGGAGAGGAGAGGGATGAAGAGAGAAGAGGAGATAAGACGAACAAGAGGAAGCCACAAGCTGCAATCGGTCCAGTGGTAGATGGCAGCACGGGATGATACATTATAGTTTCAAATTACAGGAGAAAGCCTTTGGTTGAGCAGTGTATTTGTGCTTACAGTGGATTAAAATTATTCTCAAACATGATCGGGTCTGTGGTCAGGTTACAGTGGATATAGTCTGTGCTTACAGCGAAAGGGGTTTGAGTGGACTCCCATGATGACCACGAGGACAGAAGGTTCTGAAGATGGTCCAAACTTGCTCTGAGATCACATCAAAATTGCACATTCGCAGACATGTCAGGCGCATCACAACAGGCGCAAGGCCAGTCACAGACATAGTCACAGTCCAGTTTGCCAAAGATCATGAGCATAGGAGGATGGAATATGCATAACTACAGGGTCTTTAGACAGCCTTGCATCACCTTGCCTCGGTAATTCATACAGAGATATGATTGGCACAAGACCAGCAATGAACCTACTGCACGCGTTTCTTGTAAAGAAGGCATGAATGTTGGACAAAGGCCACATGAATGACAGACAAATGTCACGTGAATGTTAGACGTCCTCTCAGTGTCAGAAAAATGCGATGTAGTCATATATATGTCACGTAATGCCAGACAAAAATGTAACTTCAAATGTCAGGCAACGATGTCAGGAAACGTCAGACTAATGTCACATGAACATCAAACAAATGTCACATGACTTTCACTTCACACAAGTCTCAGTGCTTACTTTGACAGATTCTCGTAGTGCACACGCACATATGGCCCTTTCTCCCAACCTCGTCGTCGCTTGCGGTGGTGGTGGTGCAAATGGGGTGCTTGTGATGCACCCTCCATAGTACCCACACTCAACTCGGAGTAGTCACCGCCGAGTAACTGCTAACAAATCAAGGGAGGAAACAAGTCACGGTTTCCGGTAATTAAATTATGGGTGATCAAATAAACAAACACGAGAACATCTAGCAAAAAAAACAAGAATAGCGAAATTGGCTGGAGTAGCGAGAAGAAACAGGAATATCCGACTAACTGAGTGGAGAATGTAGCGACGAGAAAATAAGTAACGAGATGAGAAGAAGGGTTGAGAGGAGTAGAAAGGCATCGTAAAAGGAAAGCGAAGCGCGATGAAGGTCGGATGGTTCGAAACAAGCATGGTATGATGAACTGACATTGACAACTCGAAGATCGTCACGGGTTTGGAGAACGCGAGAAAAACACCAACACGAAGCTTGCAGACTGGCTAAGGAGGAACAAAAAGCGCACGAAAAGCTAAGTATAGACAGACGCTAGGAGCCGACGACGCCACTCTTCAACTAATCGAACCAGGAGTTAGGAGTTCAGATTAGGACGACCCGAAACGAGCTCCCTGCGAGTTCATGTCTGGCTGTAGGAGATCGATAAGCGGAGACTACTGATGGAAAAAAAGACCTACGGCATGTGAGAAATCAGAAGCTCGGATTATTTACAGCAGTTCAAAATCAGGTCAGGAGTGATCACCTTTTCACCGTGTCTTGCAGGAGGGTTAGAGGCATTTCAGTAGGTTAGAGCAATATAGCATGGATGCAGTGTGGCGACGAGTCGACCTTACACCACCTCGAGATTACTACCCGCGTGGCGCAAATAGGTCACCTCTTTCCGTTAGTGTGGTTGAGAAGTTTGCTTCGGATTCCTGATGGTTTACAAGGGTGTTGAGACGGTTAAGTAAGTTGTGATCTTCGATCGCGGGTGGGGGAACTGATTACGTCCGATCTGGTTTCGGAGCGTTCGTTTTGACAAGATCGAGGTGGCTTCTTGGTACGGGTGCAATGAATCGAAGTAGCGAGAATTGCACTAAGGTGTCAAACGAGTACAAAATGTGAGCGAAGGCATGAGCGAACATTTATGCGCGAAACATGCAAACGGTAACGCGGTGCGTGCGAGCTTGCTAGTGCTATGCCGGAAGCGAGGCTCGGGCTAGTCCCGAAGCGTAGGCCGACACGGCCAGGCCAGCAGTGCGAGGTTTGGTGAAACAGTGCGCGCGAAGTCGGCGAAGTCCCGTTAGCAGTAACGGGCGAGCAACGGCTGTTGCTGTACGCGATGTTGCAGGGCGCGCTAAGGAATATCGAGAAAATTCCTTACACTACCCCCCCCCCCTCAAGAAGCCTCCTCTGCTACGCGAGTGCGTGTATATCGCGGAAACCCCGGCTCCTCATGTACACTTGCAGGGCAGGGTGGTTTACGATGTTGGCCACGGGCACCCAGCTATCTTCAGTTGGCGTGCGATCCTTCCAGCGAATGCGGAATTCAATCCTCCTGATTCCTGTGGGGTGTCAAATCCGATGGCTCGGGATTTTTTCGGGCTCGATGATCGGCTCCGATGCAGGGCGAGTCATGGATGGCGGGCGGTGACGAGGCAGTTGGCTTGAGGTTGGGATGTATGGGCGAAGCAGGCTGACGTGGAACGAAGGGCTGATGTACCAGTCCGTCGGCAACAGTAGGTGAGCTTTCACTGGGGTAATCATGTGGCTGATTTGGAATGGTCCACAGTAGCGGGGTCGCAATTTCGGTACGACGTGCAGTTTTAAGTTCTGTGTGTCGAGCAGTACGTAATCCCCTGACTGGTACGTGATTGGGCGGCGGTGGCGGTCAGCGTTGCGTTTAGCGATGACGTTGGCTTTTTTAATTGCTTCAGCGGCTCTGGTGCGGGCAGCTTGCAGAATTTCGGCGAATTGCTGTGCACGTGGTGTTGGGTTGTCCGGACTCGGCGTCATGGGCACTGTAGGGTTTTGCCCGTAGTTCAGGTAGAAAGGGGACTGCTGCGTCGCCGCTGACGTGGCGTTGTTATACGCGAACTCGATCAGCGGCAGCTGCTGCTCCCAAGTGGTCGGGTCGTCGCACGTGGCACGAATCAACTGCTCCATCGTCTGATTCGTCCGCTCCGTTTGACCATCGGTCTCGGGGTGGTACGACGAGCTGAACTGTAGCCTTGTCCCGAACTGCTCCCAGAGGTTCTTCCAGAAGTTGCTGGTGAACTTCATGTCGCGGTCGCTGATTATCGCGGCTGGTATCCCGTGCAGTCGAACGACGGCTGCGATGAACAGGCGAACGGTTTCTTCGGCTGAGATCGATTTCTTGCACGCAGCGAAGTGTGCCATCTTCGTCAAACTGTCAACGACGACCATAACCGCGTCGTTACCCCCAGGGTTCGAAGGTAACCCTGTGACGAAATCCATGGTAACCTGCTGCCAGGCGCGCTCAGGCGGTGGGATCGGCTGCAACTGACCCGCCTTTCTTTTTCGCGCGCGTTTTTTCTACCCCGAAATGTCCCAAGGTAATCCCGTCGTGTGCCTCCTGCAGTAACAGTTCCCTCAGTAGCGAGTACGCGGGTACCCAGATGCGGTTGGTGTCTGTTTTTACGTAATAGACTCCTCTGGCCTCTGCCAGTTGCTATGAATTTCCGATCGTGAAAAATGGGTCGGTACTGTATCCGTGGGTGAATAGGCCTGTTAACAGTGGGTTGATTTGGGCGAGTAGGATGGCGTGCAGTTGGGCGGTGGGTCGTGTGAGTACGTCGGCGATGTTGGATGCGCCTTTTTTGTACGTGACCGTATAGTGGAAGTTGGACTCCAGATAGTCCAACCAACGGATCTGTCATGGGTTGAGATTCGGTTGGGCGCGAAGGTACTGTAGTGATCGGTGGTCTGTCCGTACTGTCACGTCTGCTCCCATGAGGTAACGTCGCCACACTTTGAACGCGTGCATGATCGCCAGCATCTCGCGGTCGTGTATCGGGTAGTTGCGTTCGGGCGGGTGAAGCTTGCGGGACTCGTACGCGATTGGCTGAAGGTCGTTCCCAAATTCCTGCAACAGTACTGCGATGTCGCTAGCATCGGTGACGAGCTCGAACGGACGGTGCGGATCTGCGATGTGAAGTACGGGCGGTGAGCACAAAATATTTTTGAGGGCCGAGAAGGCAGCTTGCTCTTTCTACCCCCACGTGTACTCAACCCCCTTTCTCAGCAGGTCAGTCAGCGGGGCAGTCAGCTTCGCCATGTCGGGGACGAACCGGCGCACGTAGTTGACGAACCCCAGAAAACTCTGCAACTCGGTCAAGTTGGTTGGCGCATGCCATGCTTGAATCGTCGCAATCTCTTTTCGGGTCTATTTCCACTCCTGCAGCTGAAATAATGTGTCCCAAAAACTCCAGTCGGTCCTGTAAAAACTCACACTTAGACGCTTTTGTCAGTAGGCGGTTCTCACTCAGTATCTTAAAAACTACTTTGATGTCCTGTAAGTGCTGTGCTCTGTAAATCAGTATGTCGTCAAGGTACACAATGACGCACTTATCTAAGAGCGGGCGGAAAGCTTCGTTCATGGTCATTTGAAAGGTGGCGGGGGCGTTGGTCAGTCCGAAAGGCATGACAGTATATTCGAAGGATCCGTAGTGTGTTCGGAAGGCTGTCTTAGGGCAGTCGGGTGGGTTGACGCGAATCTGGTGGTAACCTCCGCGAAGGTCGATTTTCGAGAAAACCCGGGCGGTGCGCAGTTGGTCGATCAGTTCGTCGGCTCGCGGGATGGGGTAACGGGATTTTATGGTAACCCTGTTCAGTGCTCTGTAGTCTATGCACATGCGAAAACCCCCGTCTTTTTTCGGTGTGAACAGTATCGGTGCTGCGAAGGGCGACGAGCTGGGGCGAATGAACTCCTTCTCGAGCAGGTAATCCAGCTGCTTCCTCAGTTCGTCCAGTTCGGGTTGGGTCAGTCGGAACTGTCGCTGTACTGTCGGCTGTGCCCCCGGTTCTAGTTCTATCCTATGGTCGTGCGGTCGCTGAGGTGGCAGTCCCGTCGGTAGGTCGTCCGGGAAGATGTCACTATACTGCTTCAACAGTGCTGCCAGATCACCCGGTACGCCGGCTAGCAATTTCTGTAAATCCCCTCCTTTGTCTGCTGCCTCGGCTTCTCGAATGTCAGCCGCGTACACGTCAGCTCCTGCCGCTACGGCGCGTTTCATCGTGATCGCGTTGACACGCACCGACGAAGACTCAGGTGAGCCCCAGCGAGGTAAGGCGATGTTGTTACCGTTCACTCGCACAGTGCAGTCACCCGTCGTCCAGTCGATTCGCGGATTGTGTCGTCGCAGCTAATCACGCCCGAGTAAAATGTCGGTTCCGTCGAGGGTCGTTGCGAGCATTTCCTGGCTAAACGTGAAGTTACCACTGCATCGAATCCGAACTCGGTCCACACGTTCCCGTATCGCCAGTGGCGTGCCGTCGACCAGTCTTGCGTCGATCTCAGGTAAACATCTGTCCAGTGGCAGTCGCAGTTTTCGTGCTATGGCAGTGTTGATAAGGCTGTGGCTGGCCCCTGCGTCTACGAATATTTTAACTAAGTCAGTCCCGATTTTCCCACTAAGCAGTATAGGGCTGTCTACCGTGGTACCCTCCTTATTCGGTCGGGTGTGGTCGATTGCGTGAACCGGCACAATCACTCGGTGAGGGTCGGTTGGGTCGGGCGAGCGGCGTGACCTGTCAGTAGAGGGCCCGTCTGCTACTGACTCCCAGCGTTTCCCTGCTGCTTGGTCTGTCTCTGCTGCTCAGCTTCCCCCTTTCCCTTAGCATTTTCCGGGCATTCGCTCTTACGGTGTCCCGGCCGATTGCACGCAAAGCAGCGCCCTTTGAACGGTGCGGTAGCGGCATTTGCGGCGACGGCACGTATCGTAGCGCCCTCGTTCGTCCCACGAGGCCGATGTCCCCAATTGCTGCTTCCGTAGGACCCCGGTCTCGGTCGGCGGAAGAAATCGAGTTTCTCCGCCATGGCGAGAATCTCCTGAAAATCGGTGACGCCGCGAAGTTGGATTTCCTGAGCGATGTCCTGCTTCAGGCCGCCGATGTAGCGGTGGATGCGTTCGCTCTCGTGCATGTATCCCACCTGCTCGCATAGCGCCAGAAACCCGCTCGTGTAGTCTTGGACGGAACCGAGTTGGCGCCAAGTGCGGAGCCTCTGTCGCGCCGCGATCGAAGCCGCAATAGGCTCGAAACGAGCGCGCAGACCTGCGCACCACGCGTCCCACGTGCGATACTGGGGCACCTCTACGAAATATGACGGCGCCCAGGGTCCGGTTTGTCCTTCCCGTGTCGGTAGAGTCGCGTAGTCCACCGGCTTCGTGACGATGACACCCCACCAGTCCATGGCGGGTCCTCGCAGCAACGACACGGCGTAACGGATCTTCGCCGTATCCTCCGAGACGTAGTTCGCGTCGAAGAAAACGTTCAACGTGAAAAGCCACGCGTGAACGGTAGGACCACCCTGACTTGGGTCAAAGCATGGCGGACGCTGCGGCTTCAGCGGCATCGGCGACGGTAGAGCTGATTCGCCGGCCGGCACCGAAATAGTGACTCGAGGCTGATTCCTGGCCGCATTCGTCGCGTCGGGGTGTGTCGTGCCGTGGTCGTCGTCTTCGTCATGGCGGACGACGCCATCACTTGCGGCGCTCGCGGGTTGCCCCACACTTCCGTGTTGCGATGTCTGTGGTGCGGGCTGAATCGGAGTGCCCGGTGCTTGGGATTGTGCTCGTGCGAGGTCATTTTGCAGGGAGGTACGTTCCGCCGTTAATGCTGCGATTTCTTCGGAGTTTTCGTGCAGTTGTCGCAGCAGCTCGTCCAGGCGGTCCTGCGTGAGGTTAGTGACGTCAAGATGCTCTGCCATTCCGAAGGGCGTCGGCTCGTCTTAGTCTAGGCGCAGTCGTGGCTGCACGCGTTTACGAGAGAACGCGAGGACAGCGGCTCCTAGGTGCTAAGGTGCGTGAGTCCCTTCGAGTGAAAAATCAAAAGTTGATTTCCTGGGTGCGGAGATGCGCGGTCCGAAAAGAAAGAGGCTCTGATAACCAAGTGTTACGGGTGCAATGAATCGAAGTAGCGAGAATTGCACTAAGGTGTCAAACGAGTACAAGATGTGAGCGAAGGCATGAGCGAACATTTATGCGCGAAACATGCAAACGGTAACGCGGTGCGTGCGAGCTAGCTAGTGCTATGCTGGAAGCGAGGCTCGGGCTAGTCCCGAAGCGTAGGCCGACACGGCCAGGCCAGCAGTGCGAGGTTTGGTGAAACAGTGCGCGCGAAGTCGGCGAAGTCCCGTTAGCAGTAACGGGCGAACAACGGTTGTTGCTGTACGAGATGTTGCAGGGCGCGCTAAGGAGTATCGAGAAAATTCCTTACACTTCTCAAAACTCCTAAACTTGGTACACCCGAAAGTTTGTCCGTTCAGTTAGCCTTTAAACTTCCTAATAACAACTACTCCAAAGAAACAATACCTACTTTTGCTAGTGCTCATTTGCTTGGTGGAATCACATTTGCTGTTCCTGCTCCATAAGTCGCCTTGCTTCCAAGCTCTTCCTCAATCCGTAAAAGCTGCAGCCATCAAACACAACAGACATCGGCCAGAGAACCATCAGATAGCATATACGGTAAGAACCATGACGCACGAAAACGTGAAGAGCTTACAACCAGGCAACCTAATAAAGCAGCCTTTATGAACCAGCCCGTGTCAGGAATCACCTGATTATACTTGGAGCATTGCTCGCCCCGACACACACCCCCAGCCTTGATTCGCTGGGCCCCCATGCCCACTGCCACGTCAGCAAGCATGCAGTCCTCCGTGTCCCCCTGCCGTCCCACCCCACCTGCCACCACCACTGCCCACCCCGCTGCCCTCGCTGCCTTGGCCACCTCTAGAGCCTCTGAAAGGGTGCCGATCAAGGGGAGCTGGCAGGGAGAAGTGGGGGTGAGAAGAGGAGGGGAGAAGAGCGGGAAGAGAGAAGAGAGAGCAGCGATATTGGTTTCACCTGCTCTCGCTGCCTTGGCCACCTCTAGGGCTTCTGAGAGAGTGCCGATCAGGGGGGGCTGGTGGGAATGGGGGAGAAGAGTGGTGCAGAGAGAAGTAGAAACTGTAACGTTGGTTTCAAGGATGCAATGCGGTACAATGAGGGATCTCCCACCCACCTTGACTGCAATGCTACCGCATGTATCGGAGTGCGGAGCAATTAGGTACCACTCACATTGATGGTGATGCCACTGCACATGATGCAGAGCGGTGCAATGCGGTACCACTCACCTTAATTGCAATGCCACTGCACGTGCGCCTCTCAATGGCTTGAACCAGTCACTTGGCATTCGAGACCAGCAGGTCGTTGCCCAATATGTGATATGGTGTAATACGGCGCAATGTGGTGCAATGTGGTGCAATGCGGTACCACTCACTCACCTTGATGGCGATGCCACTGCATGTGCGTCTCTCAATGGCTTGCTCCAGTCGCTTGGCATTTGAGACCAACAGGTCGTTGCCCACCACCTGCAAGTCATGCGGTGTGTTGTGGTGCAATGCGGCGGGAGGCGGCGCAATGTGGTGACATGCGGTGGAGTGCGGAGGAAAACATTAGCAAGAAGATCGGTGGGGAACAGGAGAAGATATTGCGAGATAAAGGGAAAAGTTAGTGGCAAGAGGATGAGGGGAAGCACAATATTAGGGCATGAGTGACGGAGTGAGCATGCGAAAGAGCATGAGTGAGAGCATGAGTGAGAGCATGAGTGAGGGCATGAGTGAGGGCACGTGTGAGGGCATGAGTGAGGGCATGTGTGCGGGCATGTGTGGGGGCATGAGTGAGTGTATGTATGAAGGCATGTGCGAAAGCAAGAGCACAGGTACGCACTTGGGTGAAGCCAACCCCTGAGAGAGCTTGAGTGAGTGTCATGAGGAACTTGCCTGGGTGAAGTCAGCTACTTCCAAAGGAAGTGGAGGTGACTTTTGAGTCGACTTGAAATCACCTCAAGCGAGAGCAGGAGCACAGGGACTTGCCTGGGTGAAGCCAGCCTCTGAGAGGGCTTGAGTGGCGTCAAAGTCTTCCTGGTCAAACGGGTCCTCTATGCTCACAATGGGGAACTCTGTAACGAGGATGGGCAATCGGGTGGAAAGGAACAGAGCGGGAATGAGGTGAGGTCCGAAAGAAGCGGAGCTGTCAGCCTGAACTGAACACAGGGACTGCACTGAGTCATTACAGTATAAACTAGACGCGTATGTGAACTTATGGCTTGGGAATACTGGGGATGTCAATCTGAACATAGAAGTGCTGCTATGCTCGCTCACTCGCTATAAGGAACTCGCTCAGCAGGATGGTTCACCACACCTGAGCACAGCTGCTGATACACCTGAGAACAGTTGGAAATTCACCTGAGCACAGCTGCTGGTACACCTGAGAACAGTTGGAAATTCACCTGAGCACAGCTGCTGGTACACGTCTATGAGCTGCTGGACGGTCACTTGCTCCAAACTGCTGCTGCTGTTGTTGGCTGATGTCATGCTGATGTCACCGCTGCCATCCAGCTGCTGCTGCTGCTGCTGGATGCCCAGGTCATAGTGACCTTCGTCTGTGGTTGGGGGAGGATGGGGGGAACGTGCATGGGGGGATGATGATGCTGCTGCTGCTGCTGCTGCTGCTGGATTCCCAGGTCATAGTGACCTTCGTCTGTATGTGTGGTGGGATGTGGAGGATATAATAAATAAATTTTGGTTTTCATATGTATGTATATATGTATGTATATATATATACATATATATATATACATATCTATATATATGAAGGCTGCAGATGCGCACACACTGAGGCCGATGGATGGTTGGTAGACTTGTAGAGGGATAAGAGACTTTTCCACAATAATCACCTGTACCATTTCACCCCATCTTAAATCACATACACTCCCCCAACCACCGTAGGTCACACGCTCCCCTATCAATCACACTCATCTCCCCCCCTCTTCTCCTCCCGTCCCACCCGAAACCGAGTTACAAGCACCCGACAAACACCGTCACAACACAGCACATAAGCAATGTTCACTTTCTCTGCGTGCCGACTCAACCCCCTGTTACAATCACGTGCCAATTTCTCTGTGTGCCCACTCAGCCACCCCTTACAATCACCTATCGATATCTCTGTGTGCCCACTCAACCCCCCTTTACAATCACCTGTCACACGGCCCCCCAATGCTGCATGAATGCTGATCTTCACTTTCTCATTGTGCACATCCTCCCAGGCTTCCAACAGTAGCGAGTTGACTTTTGAGTCCCACATTTGCTGTGTACCCACCTCTCCTCCCCCTTACACCAACTAACCTGTCACACGCCCACCCAACGCTGCGTGAATGCTGATCTTCACTTTCTCTGCATGCCCTGCATTTGCCACTGCTGACGTCAGCAGCTGCAAACCGTCTCTTATGCTGGCGTTTGGGGGAGGAGGGGGGGGGGGGAGCGGTAGGAAGGGAGAAAGAGAAGGTGGTGGGGAAGGTTGGGATGGTAAGGACGTGGGAACAAAGGTGAAACACAGGGGATCAGATGGGGAGACGCATAAGTTTCACATTGTATTGAGGCGAGTTTTGAGGCGCCTCAAAACTTGCATGAGACATAGGGGATTGGGATGGGGAAACGCCAAAAAAAAAAAAGTCCCGTATGCGTTTAAGATGGGGGAGGAGTGGGGGGTGTGTGAAAAGAGAGGGGAATGGGAGGAGGAGAGAGGGGAAGGGGAGGAGGAGAGAGGGGAAGGGGAGGTGGAGGGAAAAAAGGGGAGGTAAGGACGAATGAAAAAGGGTGAAGATTGGGGTTGTGGATGGGGAAGGAGGAAGGGGTCGGGAAGGAGGGGAGGTGGAGAAACGGTGGAGGGGGGAGGCGGGGGAGAGGGAAAACATAGGGGTTAAAGGATATCGGATGGGGTGTGATGGGGAAACGTCAGTTGCTGGAGAAGCTGCTTGGCATATGCTGGCAGAGGGGTAGGATGATGGGAGGGGAAAAGAACTTTGGATGCTGGATGGGCAGAATACCAGGGGGTGAAGGGAACGGGCATGGGAGGAGGAAGGAAGGCAAGGCAGCACAACTCATTTCTCAACCTGTGGTATCACTGTGTTATGATCGTGCAAATAGCATAACTTTGTTATGATCGTGCAAGTGCAACACCCAAATCTGGGTGTACAATTTGGTTGGGCAAAGTCGCCCTAACCAATTTGGGTTGGGTGCAATTGACAGGGGCGGGAACCAACTTGCTTGGCTCATCCCAACCATTATTCGTCCCCCTCCCAAAATTTACGCTCAGCCCAAAGCATTACTCGGTGACCATTCACATTGGTCCAACAATAATGCCTAGGTTACTTCACCAAGTTCCCCTCAAGTTCATCTCTTATGTATAGTCGTTTTCCTTGATGAGATCAGCACTTGAGTTTCTAACAATCACCACCAGAGTGGACGCCCCACCCACCTATGTTGTGTTGTGTATGTAACCAGTCAGAGAGGCCCACCTTGTGAGCGGCAAACCCAAGCGATAGAAGTTGTATTTTGAGACGTCTCAAAATACTTCTTCTATAACGTACCTATGTTGTGTTGTGTATGTAACCAGTCAGAGAGGCCCACCTTGTGAGCGGCAGACCCAAGCGATAGAAGTTGTATTTTGAGACGTCTCAAAATACTTCTTCTATAACGTACCTATGTTGTGTTGTGTATGTAACCAGTCAGAGAGGCCCACCTTGTGAGCGGCAGACCCAAGCGATAGAAGTTGTATTTTGAGACGTCTCAAAATACTTCTTCTATAACGTACCTATGTTGTGTTGTGTATGTAACCAGTCAGAGAGGCCCACCTTGTGAGCGGCAGACCCAAGCGATAGAAGTTGTATTTTGAGACGTCTCAAAATACTTCTTCTATAACGTACCTATGTTGTGTTGTGTATGTAACCAGTCAGAGAGGCCCACCTTGTGAGCGGCAGACCCAAGCTGCCATCGTCAGTCACCAGCGCTGCTGCTGCTGCTCCAAACCGTTCTGCTGCAAGTGCCTGGCGGGGAATGCGGTTGAATGCGGTGGAGAGGGGTAGAAAGGGGTGCATTGGGATGGAATTCGATGGAGCGATGTGATGTGATGTGATGTAATGGACCTTTGTGTTATATATTTATATGGTTGTACTGTATGTGATGTGAGAGTTAATGTAAACACCCAGCTATAGGTCTGACGGTGACGGGAAGCCTACAGTGCTGCTACTGACTCTTGGTTCCTTTCAGTCCCCAATGACCCCTATCAGTCCCCAATGACCCCTTTCAGTCCCCAATGACCCCTTTCAGTCCCCAATGACCCCTTTCAGTCCCCAATGACCCCTTTCAGTCCCCAATGACCCCTTTCAGTCCCCAATGACCCCTTTCAGTCCCCAATGACCCCTTTCAGTCCCCAGTGACCCCTTTCAGTCCCCAATGACCCCTTTCAGTCCCCAATGACCCCTTTCAGTCCCCAATGACCCCTTTCAGTCCCCAATGACCCCTTTCAGTCCCCAATGACCCCTTTCAGACCCCAATGACCCCTTTCAGTCCCCAATGACCCCTTTCAGTCCCCAATGACCCCTTTCAGTCCCCAATGACCCCTTTCAGTCCCCAATGACCCCTTTCAGTCCCCAATGACCCCTTTCAGTCCCCAATGACCCTTTCAGTCCCCAATGACCCCTTTCAGTCCCCAATGACCCCTTTCAGTCCCCAATGACCCCTTTCAGTCCCGAATGACCCCTTTCAGTCCCCAATGACCCCTTTCAGTCCCCAATGACCCCTTTCAGTCCCATATGACCCCTTTCAGTCCCCAATGACCCCTTTCAGTCCCCAATGACCCCTTTCAGTCCCCAATGACCCCTTTCAGTCCCCAATGACCCCTTTCAGTCCCCAATGACCCCTTTCAGACCCAATGACCCCTTTCAGTCCCCAATGACCCCTTTCAGTCCCCAATGACCCCTTTCAGTCCCCAATGACCCCTTTCAGTCCCCAATGACCCCTTTCAGTCCCCAATGACCCCTTTCAGTCCCCAATGACCCCTTTCAGTCCCCAATGACCCCTTTCAGTCCCGAATGACCCCTTTCAGTCCCCAATGACCCCTTTCAGTCCCCAATGACCCCTTTCAGTCCCCAATGACCCCTTTCAGTCCCCAATGACCCCTTTCAGTCCCCAATGACCCCTTTCAGTCCCCAATGACCCCTTTCAGTCCCCAGTGACCCCTTTCAGTCCCCAATGACCCCTTTCAGTCCCCAATGACCCCTTTCAGTCCCCAATGACCCCTTTCAGTCCCCAATGACCCCTTTCAGTCCCCAATGACCCCTTTCAGACCCCAATGACCCCTTTCAGTCCCCAATGACCCCTTTCAGTCCCCAATGACCCCTTTCAGTCCCCAATGACCCCTTTCAGTCCCCAATGACCCCTTTCAGTCCCCAATGACCCCTTTCAGTCCCCAATGACCCCTTTCAGTCCCCAATGACCCCTTTCAGTCCCCAGTGACCCCTTTCAGTCCCCAATGACCCCTTTCAGTCCCCAATGACCCCTTTCAGTCCCCAATGACCCCTTTCAGTCCCCAATGACCCCTTTCAGTCCCCAATGACCCCTTTCAGACCCCAATGACCCCTTTCAGTCCCCAATGACCCCTTTCAGTCCCCAATGACCCCTTTCAGTCCCCAATGACCCCTTTCAGTCCCCAATGACCCCTTTCAGTCCCCAATGACCCCTTTCAGTCCCCAATGACCCCTTTCAGTCCCCAATGACCCCTTTCAGTCCCCAGTGACCCCTTTCAGTCCCCAATGACCCCTTTCAGTCCCCAATGACCCCTTTCAGTCCCCAATGACCCCTTTCAGTCCCCAATGACCCCTTTCAGTCCCCAATGACCCCTTTCAGACCCCAATGACCCCTTTCAGTCCCCAATGACCCCTTTCAGTCCCCAATGACCCCTTTCAGTCCCCAATGACCCCTTTCAGTCCCCAATGACCCCTTTCAGTCCCCAATGACCCCTTTCAGTCCCCAATGACCCCTTTCAGTCCCCAATGACCCCTTTCAGTCCCGAATGACCCCTTTCAGTCCCCAATGACCCCTTTCAGTCCCCAATGACCCCTTTCAGTCCCCAATGACCCCTTTCAGTCCCCAATGACCCCTTTCAGTCCCCAATGACCCCTTTCAGTCCCCAATGACCCCTTTCAGTCCCCAATGACCCCTTTCTCCCATCAACAGCTCAACATACTCCGCATTCTTCCCTTCCCCATTCACCCCCCCAGCCCCCACACCCCCCTCCTCTCCCCTCCAATGCACCTGCAAGCAGTGCTGCACCTCTGCTCCAATCCGCACAGCCTCTGAAAATGTGGATGCTCCCACTGGCAGAATGGAGAGTGACTGAGGGGGGGGGTGCGGATGGGGTTGGGCATGGAGGGAATGAATCGGGGATGGTGGGAAGGAGTGATAAAGATGATATCATGACACCCCCAATGCACTGAACAGCTGCAGTGGGTGATAATGCTGCACTGGATGCCTGTTGTGGAGTGGACAAGACAGCCTCAGAAAATGTGGATGCGACTAGCAGGAGGGAGGGAGAGGGACTGCTGAGAGAAGGGAAGGGGAGATAGGGGCTTGAAGGAAAGAAAAGGGAGGAGAGGGACTGCTGAGAGAAGGGAAGGGAGGGGAGATAGGGGCTTGAAGGACAGAAAAGGGAGGAGAGGGACTGTGGGGGTTAAAAATCACATGACAGCGCTCACATGACAGCGCTCACATGACAGCGCTCACATGACAGCGCTCACATGACAGCGCTCACATGACAGCGCTCACATGACAGCGCTCACATGACAGCGCTCACATGACAGCGCTCACATGACAGCGCTCACATGACAGCGCTCACATGACAGCGCTCACATGACAGCGCTCACATGACAGCGCTCACATGACAGCGCTCACATGACAGCGCTCACATTGATATAATCCACTCACTCACCCACTTGCTGGCACCAATTCGGCTCTCACTGAAAGCCTTAAAGCCTTGATAGTTTCTGTACTCTTCTACCGGACCATATCATTTCACACACTCATTCACTCGCTGGCACTGGTGCAGATGTCACCATTTCACACACCCATTCACTCGCAAGCACTCAGACTCACATGGAACGGGGGCGAGGCGGCAGAGGAGGGCGTGAGGGCGCCCGAGAGGAGGGCGAACTCAGGCACGGGGAGAGAAGGGTGGGGCAGCGCTGCCAGGGAGGCGATGTACTCGTGGAGTGACAGCTGCGAACAGGGGGGTAAGTGACCAGAGGTCAGAGACAACAGAAGAGCAGGAGAGGTGGGAGAGATGGGTGGGGCATGGCAGCAAGTGAATGAGAGGAGGGCGAATTTGGGCACGGGGAGAGAAGGGTGGGGCACCGCTGCGAGCGATGCGATGTACTCGTGCAGTGGAAGCTGCGATACGAACAGGGCAGGTGGATGGAATGTAAGAGTGAAGGAGGGAGGGAGAGGGAAAAGAGGAGGGCGCGAGAGGTCGAGATTCTCCCAGCGAGGCAATGTACTCGTGCAGTGGAAGCTGCGATCATGTGCGGGGAAAAAGAGAACAGAGGTCAGAGACGACAGAGGGGCAGCACGTGACGGAGAGGAGAGAAGGGCGAACTCAGGCACGGGGAGAGATGGGTGGGGCACCGCTGCGAGCGATGCGATGTACTCGTGGAGTGGAAGCTGCGATACGAACAGGGGAGGGTGGGGAGGATTAGTGAAGAGGGGAGGGGGAGGGGAAAGAGGAAGGCGTGAGAGTTTAAAACTTCAGCAAGAGAGGCGATGTACTCGTGCAGTGGAAGCTGCGGTTGTGGTGTGGTTGGAGGCAAGAGAGGGGGCAGCAGAGGAGGGAAGGAGGATGGGGGATGGCAGCAAGTGAATGAGAAGAGAGGAGGGTGAATCGGGTATGGGGAGAGAGGGGTGGGGACCGCTGCCAGCGAGGCGATGAACTCATGCATGCAGTGGGCGCTGCGATTGTGGTGAGAGGCATGAGAGGGGCATGGAGTGGGAGAGATGGGTGGGGGTTGGCAGCAAGTGAATGAGAGGCGAACTCAGGCACGGGAAGAGAGGGGTGAAGGACCGCTGCAAGCGAGGCGATGTACTCGTGCAGTGGCATCTGCGAGATGAACAGGGAAGGTGGGGGGGAGGAACGCAGGAGGAGCGGGAGGGAATAGGGGAGGGCGGGCGTGAGAGGTCAAACTCCTGCAAGCGAGGCGATGTACTCGTGCAGTGGCAGCTGCAGTTGAGGGGTTGGGGGAGGAAAATGGTGCCAAACTTGGTGGTATGACACAGGGGGAATACTATGCATCCCTGTGAGACGCACGCACGCACGCACGCACGCACTCACACACAGGCGCACATAATTAATCACATGCGCACTCTCATCACTCCATCTGCCGTCTCTGCAACACCCACTCAGCCACACTCACCTCTCTCTCTGCTGCGCCTGCTCAGCACACTGTCAAAGACACACCCTGAGTCTTCCTGTTGCTTCAAATTTCCACCAAACCCCCCCTTACCCCCTCTCTCACGCACACCCACTCGCACCTCTCGCTCAGCCACGCCTGCCTGGCACACTGTGGAGACGCACCCTTGTTTCCCTCTGACGCTCCAACTCTTCCTAAGCAGCCCCATGCCGCCACTCACACCCACTCACACACACCCTCACCTCTCTCTCTGCCGCGCCTGCCCGGCACACCGCCAGAGACACGGCGAGAATAGCATTGGCACCAAGCTCGCCCTGAAAGCAAGGGGGAGACAGGGGGGCGAATGAGAGAAAGGAGAGGAGAGGGGGGCGTGTGAGTGAAGGAGACACGGCGAGAATGGCGATAGCGCCTAGCTCGCCCAGAGGGAATGGGGAAACGAAGAGGTATGTTGGGGAGACAGACGAGGGGACAAAAGGGGCGTGGGAGGGGGATGAGGGGATGAAGGGGTTGCAAGGAGCGAGTGAGAGAAGGAGGCAGCGAGAGAAGAGCATTGGGCCCCCTTCTCCCCTGTGGCAAGTGCGGCAAACTATGCCCTGCCTGCAGGAGGAGACGTGAAGGAGTGGGGAAAGGCAGTGGCGTGAGGAGGGGATGGGACGATGGGACGAAAGGCATTGGCGCCTAGCTCATCCCCACCCACCCACCTTGTTGTCTGTCTAGCTGGTATTGTTCAGCCGGCATCAACCTGTCGATCTCGCCCTGCTTGCATTGCAAGCCTCCCTCTCTCACAGCGCACTAATACATCACAACCCACCATCCGCCTTGTTGTCAGTCTGATCAAGCTCGGCCGCCATTAGCCGGTCAATCTCGCCCTTCTCGTGAGGGTCCTTTCTCTCCCCCCTGTTTTCCCCCTTTTCCCCCTTTTCCCTGTTTTCCCCCTTTTCCCCCTTTTCCCCCTTTTCCCCCTTTTCCCCCTTTTCCCCCTTTTCCCCCCCCTTTTCCCCCTTCCTTTCCCCCTTCCTTTCCCCCCTTCCTTCCTTTCCCCCCTTCCTTCCTTTCCCCCCTTCCTTCCTTTCCCCCCTTCCTTCCTTTCCCCCCTTCCTTCCTTCTTTCCCCCCCCCCTCCCTTCTTTCCCCCCCCCCTCCCTTCTTTCCCCCCCCCCTCCCTTCTTTCCCCCCCCCCTCCCTTCTTTCCCCCCCCCCCCCTTCTTTCCCCCCCCCTCCCTTCTTTCCCCCCCCCCCCCTTCTTTCCCCCCCCCCCCCCCTTCTTTCCCCCCCCCCCCCCTTCTTTCCCCCCCCCCCCCTTCTTTCCCCCCCCCCCCTTCTTTCCCCCCCCCCCCCTTCTTTCCCCCCCCCCCCCTTCTTTCCCCCCCCCCCCCTTCTTTCCCCCCCCCCCCCCTTCTTTCCCCCCCCCCTCCCTTCTTTCCCCCCCCCCCCCTTCTTTCCCCCCCCCCCCCTTCTTTCCCCCCCCCCCCTTCTTTCCCCCCCCCCCCTTCTTTCCCCCCCCCCTCCCTTCTTTCCCCCCCCCCTCCCTTCTTTCCCCCCCCCCTCCCTTCTTTCCCCCCCCCCCCCTTCTTTCCCCCCCCCCCCCTTCTTTCCCCCCCCCCCCTTCTTTCCCCCCCCCCCCTTCTTTCCCCCCCCCCCCTTCTTTCCCCCCCCCCCCCTTCTTTCCCCCCCCCCCCCTTCTTTCCCCCCCCCCCCCTTCTTTCCCCCCCCCCCCCTTCTTTCCCCCCCCCCCCCTTCTTTCCCCCCCCCCCCCTTCTTTCCCCCCCCCCCCCTTCTTTCCCCCCCCCCCCCTTCTTTCCCCCCCCCCCCCCTTCTTTCCCCCCCCCCCCCTTCTTTCCCCCCCCCCCCCCTTCTTTCCCCCCCCCCCCCCTTCTTTCCCCCCCCCCCCCCTTCTTTCCCCCCCCCCCCCTTCTTTCCCCCCCCCCCCCCTTCTTTCCCCCCCCCCCCCCTTCTTTCCCCCCCCCCCCCCTTCTTTCCCCCCCCCCCCCCTTCTTTCCCCCCCCCCCCCTTCTTTCCCCCCCCCCCCCCTTCTTTCCCCCCCCCCCCCCTTCTTTCCCCCCCCCCCCCCCCTTCTTTCCCCCCCCCCCCCCTTCTTTCCCCCCCCCCCCCCTTCTTTCCCCCCCCCCCCCCTTCTTTCCCCCCCCCCCCCCTTCTTTCCCCCCCCCCCCCTTCTTTCCCCCCCCCCCCCCTTCTTTCCCCCCCCCCCCCCTTCTTTCCCCCCCCCCCCCCTTCTTTCCCCCCCCCCCCCCTTCTTTCCCCCCCCCCCCCCTTCTTTCCCCCCCCCCCCCCCTTCTTTCCCCCCCCCCCCCCTTCTTTCCCCCCCCCCCCCTTCTTTCCCCCCCCCCCCCTTCTTTCCCCCCCCCCCCCCTTCTTTCCCCCCCCCCCCCCTTCTTTCCCCCCCCCCCCCTTCTTTCCCCCCCCCCCCCTTCTTTCCCCCCCCCCCCCCTTCTTCCCCCCCCCCTTCTTTCCCCCCCCCCTTCTTTCCCCCCCCCCTTCCTTTCCCCCCCCCCTTTCCCCCCCCCCTTTCCCCCCCCCCTTCCTTTCCCCCCCCCCTTCCTTTCCCCCCCCCCTTCCTTTCCCCCCTTCTTTTCCCCCCTCCTTTTCCCCCCTCCTTTTCCCCCCTCCTTTTCCCCCCTTCTTTTCCCCCCTCCTTTTCCCCCTTCTTTTCCCCCCTCCTTTTCCCCCTTCTTTTCCCCCCTTTCCCCCCTTGCCCCCTTTCCCCCCCCCTTTCCCCCCCCTTTCCCCCCCCCTTTCCCCCCCCTTTCCCCCCCCCTTTCCCCCCCCCTTTCCCCCCCCCTTTCCCCCCCCTTTCCCCCCCCCTTTCCCCCCCCCTTTCCCCCCCCCTTTCCCCCCCCCTTTCCCCCCCCCTTTCCCCCCCCCCTTCCCCCCCCCCTTTCCCCCCCCCTTTCCCCCCCCCTTTCCCCCCCCCTTTCCCCCCCCTTTCCCCCCCCCTTTCCCCCCTTCTTTCCCCCCTTCTTTCCCCCCTTCTTTCCCCCCTTCTTTCCCCCCTTCTTTCCCCCCTTCTTTCCCCCCTTCTTTCCCCCCTTCTTTCCCCCCTTCTTTCCCCCCTTCTTTCCCCCCTTCTTTCCCCCCTTCTTTCCCCCCTTCTTTCCCCCCTTCTTTCCCCCCTTCTTTCCCCCCTTCTTTCCCCCCTTCTTTCCCCCCTTCTTTTCCCCCTTTTCCACCTTTTCCCCCTTTTCCCCCTTCCCCCCCTTCCCCCCCTTTCCCCCCTTTCCCCCCTTTCCCCCCTTTCCCCCCTTTCCCCCCTTTCCCCCCTTTCCCCCCTTTCCCCCCTTTCCCCCCTTTCCCCCCTTTCCCCCCTTTCCCCCTTCTTTTCCCCCTTTTCCCCCTTTCCCCCCTTTTTTCCTTAACTCCCACCCACCTTCTTGTCAGTCTGGTCCAATTCAGCCGCCATCAGCCTAACTCCCCACCACCGCTGCTGCACGTCGTTACTGCACTTGACTCATGAGTATCCCTTTTCAGCCCCATTCCCCCATCCCTTCCCCCCCCCATCCTCTCCACCACCCACCTTGTTGTCGGTCTGATCAAGCCCAGCCGCTATCAGCCGGTCAATCCCCCCTGCTCGCGAGGGTTCCTCCCCACCACCGCTGCCTGCCTGCCGTCACTGCCCTTGCTGCCATGAGCCTATCGATCTGCCCTTTTCAGCCCCATTCCCACCCACGGCCTTCTCTCCCCCTCTCGCCCACCTTGTTATCTGTCTCATCAATCTCACCCGCCATCAGCCAGTCAATCTCGCCCTGCTCACGAGGGTCGCTCCTCGTCCCCCCTGCCCCCTCCACTCCCCCTCTTCCTCCCCCCACTCCCCAATCCCCCACACACCTTGTTGTCAGTCTGGTCCAGTTCAGCCGCCATAAGCCGGTCAATCTCCCCTTGCTCGCGAGGGTCCCTCCCCACCACCGCTGCTGCCCACCAATATTGCCCATGAGTCCAAACCCTTGTCACCGCGTCCCCCCACCCACCTTGTTGTCTGTCTGATCAAGCTCGGCCGCCATAAGCCGGTCAATCTCGCCCTGCTCGCGCGGGTCCCTCCCCACCACCGCTGCTGCAATCACCTCAATCACATTCCCCACCGCCCGCTGCACGCCCCTCCCGAAGAATTCCCCCTCGTCCCCATCCCTCACTTCCACTGCTTCATAGCTGAACGGGAATGGGAGAGGGGTGGGAGAGAGGGTGCGGAGGAGAGAAAAGGGTGGTAGCTAAGGGAGTGACATGCTGCAAACGCGTCGCTCACATTCCCCACCGCCCTCTGCAAGCCCCTTCCAAAGCACTCCTTCCCGTTCCCATTCCGCACCTCGACTGCTTCATAGCTGAATGGGAATGGGGCAAGGGAGAGAGGTGGAAAGAGAACAACGGATTGGGGGGAGTGGGAGGTGGTGCTGCAATCGTAATCTTCACAATCCAAGCGCCCTCTGCACGCCCCTTTCGAAAGAATCCTCCGTCCTCTCCATCCCACATCTTAACCACTTCGAATCTGCGACTGGGCAGAGAAGGAGACATGGGAGAGGATGGGGTGGGAATAAAGGGAGAAGGGTGGTAAGGGCGTGACATGCTGCAATCCCCTCGCTCACATTCCCAAACCCGCTCAGGTCGGGTCTGGTCGGATCGAGTCGACTCGGGTCAGGTAGGGTCGGGTCAAGTCTGGTAGGGTTGGGTCCAATCGAGTCGGGTCGGGTCGAGTTGGATCGGGGTCAAGCTGGGTCGGGTCGGGTGGGGTCTGGTCAAGTTGGGTCGGTCGGGTTGGGTCAGGTCGGGTAAAGTCGGGTCGGGTCAGGTCGGGTTGGATCGGGTCGGGTAAAGTCGGGTCGGGTCAGGTCGGGTCGGATCGGGTCGGGTCAAGTAGGGTCGGGTCGGGTTGGGTCAATTCGGTTCGGTTCAAATCGGGTCGGGTCGGGTTTGGTCGGGTCAAGCTGGGTCGGCCGGGTTGGGTCGGAAAGGGTTGTTGGGTGAGGTTGGGTAAAGTCTGGTCGGGTCGAGTAGGCACAGGTCTGGTCAGGTCGGCCGGCTCGGTTGGGATAGTAGGGTTGGTTTGGGCCGGGTCAGGTCGGATCGGGTCGGGTCGGGTCAAGCCGGGTCAGGGAGGGTCGGGTAAGTCGGGTCGGATCGGGTCGGATCGGGTCGGGTTGGATCGGACGGGTTGGGTCAAGTCGGGTCGGGTCGGGCCGGGTCAACTCAGGTCGGTTCAAGTCGAGTCGGGTTGGGTCGGGTCAAGTTGGTTCAAGTCAGGTCGGGTCGGGTCGGTTCGGGTCGGGTCGGATCGGGTGTGGGTTGTGGCTAACTTCTCTGAGGGCGGCTCAATTGCAGTAGGGATCTGTGTGTGTGTTCCATCTTGGACCAGACCAGTTGGTTCCTTGTTGGTTTCTGAGAGAATCTCAAAACCATGCCACTTGTAACTCTCCCATGCCACTTGTGCCACCACATGTAAGTAACCCTCACATCCAGATGTAACGCCCTCACATGCCAATTGTAACTCGCACTTCCAGATGCAACGCTCACATGCCAGATGTAACGCCGGTGGGAACAGAGGCGCGGAACTTGCCCCTGTGTGAGCCCACCTCCGCCTCCACTGTGGGCTCCCCTCTCGCATCCAGCACCATGCGCCCCTTGACGCTCAGAATCACCGACGGGGCTGCGCGCTGCAGATGGCGCGCCTGGGGAAGAACGATGGGATAGGGAATCATAAGTGAAGGCGAAGCGGCTTGTGTTTGGATCCTGAGCCGCCCACCTCCGCCTCCACCGTGGGCTCCCCCCGCGCATCCAGCACCATGCGCCCCTTCACAGTCAGAATCACTGACGGGGCTGCGCACTGCAAGTGCCGCGCCTGGGGAAGATAAAGGAACATAGTGGGGGACATGGATGGGGGTGTGTGGTTCCTGTGAGAGCCAATCTCCTCCTCCACTGTCGGCTCCCCCCGTGCGTCCAGCACCATGCGCCCCTTCACAGTTAGAATGACTGATGGGGCTGCGCGCTGTAGATGACGAGCCTGGGAGGGGATGAAAGACGGGAAGGGAAGGGGGTAGGTGTGCCAAATGTGACTCTCACACGCCGCGGAACTTGCCCCTGTGAGAGCCCACCTCCGCCTCCGCCGTGCGTAGTATAGAATCTGACACAAACGCGTCAGCTTGTAACGAGTGGTAACGGTTGAGCTTACATCGAGTGTTAACGAGCGAGCCTACAATGAATGCGCTTCGTCCGTTGTAGCTCGTACGGCCGCATTGACCGCCTCTTCTATGCGCAGCGACAGCCTGTGAGCATTAATGAGTCAGTTTATAATGAGAAATACCTGGTAGACTTACGATGAATGCGATTGGTTCGTCCGTTTTCGCCCGCACGGCCGCATTGACCCTCCTCTATCCGCAGCGACAGCCGCTTTGTAACCGCAACACGGACGAGGCAGCTTATAACGGAGCCTACCAGGTAAACTTACTATGAATGCGATTGGTTCGTCGGTTTTCGCCCGCACGGCCGCATTGACGGCCTCCTCTATCCGCAGCGACAGCTTGTGGCGATCGAGATACTCCTGTACCGTCATCGACATGTTGCCCGCACCCTCACTCTCTCACTCACTCTCTCGCTTACTCACTCACTCACTCGCAATCTCTCGTTTTCTCACCTCGATGTCACACACACTCACTGAAATGCACCTCACTCTCGCTCTCTCTCACACACACTCTTCCGCTCCTTACGGAACTCTGCCTCCTACCGGCGGTACAAAGAACTACACACTGCCGACTTCTAATCCGTTGTCTCTATGATGCTAACAGTAGACTCCGTCCTTCGTCTCTCAAGCGGACTAGAGAGCGAGAGTTCTCGATTGCCCCGAACGCGTTCTGCTTGAATGCTGGTGCTTCACGCTTGCCAAGCTGAATCTGAATGCATCCGCGTTTCAGCCTGTCGTATTATGTGCTGAAAGCGTCTGACAAATATTCGTATTTGTGTTTTTTTCCAATGTATGAACCAAGCTGTACGCTTCCGAACAAGTTCGAATCCGCCTTGATCCCAAACCTAGAGTCGACCGAACTTCGATAGGGGCACTCGCTTATCGCAACCTTGCTGACGAAAGTGGCGAAAACTAGAGTAACTGATCAGATGAGTCCAGTCCAAAGCAACACCATACCCGACCATTCTAAATGTAAAAAGACGTCTGCTGAGCCGAATTCAACTTACTTTGGGGACTATCCCAACCGCACCACCTGCCGAGCCGCACATGATCCATACAAGCAGTTTCGCTCCCTAGGGGTGTGCAAGTAATGACAGGCCAAGATAGACATTTATAGTATATTTTCAGTTGACGGTTTCGTTTGAGCCCAAACGAGACTTTTCGCGGAGAAAGTGGGGATGGCTGAAACTGGAGCGGAGGGTAATGCGATTAGTATCGGGGATGACGGAAAGGAGCCGAATGACGCAGAGGAGTCTAGAGAGACTAAAGACGCAAGAGACTTAGTGGAGATTAAGATCGTCGACGATAAAGCAGGGGGGGTAGTAGGCGACGAGAAGCAGAAGGCGGCAGGGGGAAAGAAGCGGAAGAAGAAGCGCCTGGCGGGGCGGAAATGGGCGGTTTTGCTTGTCGGGATGCGGGGGGAGGCGGAGCTGCTACAGTGCACGAAGCAGGCCATCATGCGCCGCGTGTCGGTCCCCGCGCGCGATCTCCGCTTAAACGGCCCGTTGCTGTCCTCCGCCGCCGCGATTCTCGGTGAGTTGTGTTAAGCCTGACTCTATAGCGTACGTACGTACGTCAGCTGTCGCTCCCCACGCGCGATCTGCACGTGCGCGGCCAGCTGCAGCTGAGGTCGAAGCCGCGCGCCGGTTCCCGAACGTCTGCGCCATTTGCGCTAGCACGGTCCGACTGTTGAGTTGACTTAGTTCCCCTAAACCCGAAACCCGAAGTCTTTATTTCTCTCTCTCTCTCGCCCCGTCTGGTTACCCGGTTACAGGCAGGGAGGGGTGCATGATGGTGAACCTGGAGCATGTGAAGGCCATCATGTCTCTTTCTCCCTCTCTCTCTCGCCCCGTCTGGTAACCCGGTTACAGGCAGGGAGGGGTGCATGATGGTGAACCTGGAGCATGTGAAGGCCATCGTGTCAGCGCAACAGGTGCTGCTTTTCAACCCCTCCTCGCCGCCCGTTGCCGCCTTTGCCGCCCACCTGGAACGAGTGCTTGCCATGGGGCCTGAACCGGCACAGACAGAGGTGCAGACGACGATGCAGGAGCAGGCACGGACACACGATCTTGTGGAATCACACACGCGGGCAGAGGCGGAAGTGGGGAGGGATGAGGCACAGGCACGGACGCACGCTGTGGGGCCTGAATCGATGCTGACACAATCGCAGATAGAAGGAGGGGGGAGGAATAGGACACAGGTGCAGGCACATTCACATGCACATGATCATGTGGGGACACAAGGGCAGGGTGAAATACAAAAAGAAGGAGATGCAGATGGAGGGAGAGGACGGGAGCATGGAGGAGGAGAAAGGGAAGGGGAAGGAGGAGCAGGAAAACGAGCGGGAGCAGATGTTGTAAGGCTCGGAGATAAGGAGGAGAGTGAAAGCGAGAAGGAGGAGAGTGAAAGCGAGAAGGAGGAGAGTGAAAGCGAGAAGGAGGAGGAGGAAGAGAGCAAAAAACAGAAAGAGAAGGAGGAGGAGAAGAAGGATACAAAAGCAGCCGAGGAGGATGGGGAGGAGGAGGAGGAGCCTTTACCGTTCGAGTTCCGTGTGTTGGAGCAGATTCTAGAGGAGGTGGTGAGCAGGAGGCTGGAGGGGGAGTGCCGCGAGCTGGAGAGGGATGCGTATGCTGCACTTAATGCACTTGCCAGGGCTGTCAGCACGGCGGGTCTGGAGGCCGTGAGAGGGGTGAAGAACCGGCTGACAGTGCTGACCTCCCGCGTGCAGAAGGTGAGATAGGGAGGCAGAAGAGTAGGTGAGGCACTGCCGGTGTAGTAACCATAGAAAGATGAGCAGATTCTAGAGGAGGAAATGAGCAGGAGGCTGGAGGGGGAGTGCCGCGAGCTGGAGAGAGACGCGTATGCGGCTCTGAATGCACTGGCCCAGGCTGTGAGCACGGCAGGCCTGGAGGCCGTGAGAGGCGTGAAGAACAGGTTGACTGTGTTGACCTCCCGTGTGCAGAAGGTAAGATGAGGCAGGCAGAAGGTGAGGCAGAAGGGTAGGTGAGAGGCACTGCCAGTGTGGGTAAGCAGTAAGCAAGGAGCTCACTCTAGAAGCAGTGGTGAGCCGGAAGCTGGAGGGGGGGTGTCTGGAGCTGGAGAGAGACGCGTATGCGGCGCTGAATGTGCTTGCCAGGGCTGTCAGCACGGCGGGTTTGGAGGCGGTGAGAGGCGTGAAGAATAGGTTGACCGTGCTGACTTGGCGCCTGCAGAGGGTGAGGCAGAGGGTGAGGCAGAGGGTGAGGCAGAGGGTGAGGCAGAGGGTGAGGCAGAGGGTGAGGCAGAGGGTGAGGCAGAGGGTGAGGCAGAGGGTGAGGCAGAGAGTGAGGCAGAGGGTGAGGCATTCACATTAGTAACGAACGCGCTCACCAGGGCTGTCAGCTCGGCACGGCCAGCCTGGAAGCCGTGAGGGGGGTGAAGAATTGGCTGATTGTGTTGACTTGGCGTGTGCAAATGAGGGATGTGAGATGATGTGAGATGAGGGATGTGAGATGAGGGATGTGAGATGAGGGATGTGAGATGAGGGATGTGAGATGAGGGATGTGAGATGAGGGATGTGAGATGAGGGATGTGAGATGAGGGATGTGAGATGAGGGATGTGAGATGAGGGATGTGAGATGAGGGATGTGAGATGAGGGATGTAGAGGGTGAGGCAGGCAGCTAAACAGGTGCGGGACGAGTTGGAGCATCTACTAGACAACGACAGACAGGGACATGGCAGACCTTTACCTCCTTCTGTCCCGTTCCCTTTCCTTACCTGCTCTTCTCCCTCCCTTCTGTTTCCCTCTTGCTCTGTTCCTGCAGGCGCGGGACGAGTTGGGGCATCTGCTGGACATGACAGACCTCTACCCCACACTGCGTTGCTGCTTTCTTACACTATTTTGCTCCCCTCCCTTTCCCTGTGCCTCCTCTGCCCTCATTCCTGCAGGCGCGGGACGAGTTGGAGCATCTGCGGGACATGGCAGACCATTACCTTTACCTCTACCTTCACACTGTGCTGCCCTTGTGCTCCCTCTACCCTTTCTCTCTGTCCTTCCCATTGTCCCCCTTCCTTGTTCTGCCTCGGTGCAGGTGCGGGACGAGTTGGAGCATCTACTCGATGACGACAGGGACATGGCGGATCTCTATCTCACACGCCAGCTGCAATGGCTCACTCTACCCGCCTCTCCCGCACACTCTCCCTCACACTCGCCCTCACACTCACCCTCACACTCTCCCTCACGCGCTCACCCACTCTCTCCTGCACAATCTCCCTCTCCTGCACATTCATCCCAACACTCCCCCACACACTCTCCCCCACACTCTCCTTCAAACTTTCCAGCACACACTCCCACACACTCTCCAACACCCTCTCACTCACTCTCACGCTCACCTTCAGATTCCCCTCCACCTGACCTTTCTTCTCCTCCTCCCAATTCCCTCTCCTCATATCCAGCCCGCTGCTGCTGGGCCTGCCTTTCCCCCTACCTTCCCCCCTAGTTTTCCACCTGTGACCGTCTCTAGTCACAGGGGCTCCCTCACTCACTCCCCCACACACTCCCTCACGCACTCCCTCACTCACTCGCTCCCTTACTCGCTCACTCACTCGCTTTCCTTCCTCCCTGTCACCGGCCGAAGCTTCCGCAGCTCTGGCAGAGGCGCATGGGGGGGAATGGGGGGAACGCCGAGGGGGGGAATGGGGGAGGGGTCGGGGAGCAGTGTGAGTTCGAGTGTGGTGAGTGTGGGAGGAGGGGAGGATGTGGAGGAATTGGAGATGCTTTTGGAGGCGTATTTCACGCAAGTGGACCGACTCCTGAATGACTTGACAGCGGTGAGTGAATATAGATATCACGTGCTTTGTCTGTCCTTGTTTGACGTGTGTGTGGGTTGGGTTGTCTGTGCTTTGTCTGGTGGGAGGAGGGGAGGACGTGGAGGACTTGGATATGCTGCTGGAGGCGTTTTGAGACGTCTCAAAACATCTCTGTTTACACGTGTGCTGGAGGCGTATTTCACCCAGGTCGACCAACTATAAACGACTTAACAGCGGTGAGTGAATATAGATATCACGTGCTTTGTCTTTTCTTGTTTGACGTGTGCGGGTGGGTGGGTGTGCTGCTGGGTTGGGTTGCTGTGGAGGGGGGGGGAAAGTGGAGGAGTTGGATATGGTGCTGGAGGCGTATTTCACTCAGGTGGACCAATTGCTTACCGACACTGTTGTGAGTGAATATCTAGCTGACATGGGCTCTGCCCTTCTTTCAGATGTGTGGGTGGGTGTGCTGCTGGATTGCTGTGGAATGGGTGTGCTGCTGGATTGCTGTGGAATGGGTGTGCTGCTGGATTGCTGTGGAGGAGGAGGGGAGGATGTGGAGGCTATGTGATCACCCATCTGGATACCTGCATACTACATACTCACACCTTACCTCTCCTTGCTCTCTCTGCCCCCATTTGTCCCCTCTCTCCCCCAGCTCCATGAGTACGTGGACGACACGGAAGACTATGTGAACACGCAGTGAAGAGCAGGCCATCCAACTGTACCCCTACCCTCGCCCTGCCTCCCATCCCCACCGCCCACCCCAGCTCCATGAGTACGTGGACGACACGGAGGACTATGTGAACACGCAGCTGGACTACCGCAGGAACCAGCTGCAGGGGATGCAGGTGCGTGGTGCTGATGACGTGGCAGGAGTGACTGACGTGGCAGGAGTGACTGACGTGGCAGGAGTGACTGGCGTGGCAGGAGTGACTGGCGTGGCAGGAGTGACTGGCGTGGCAGGAGTGACTGGCGTGGCAGGAGTGACTGGCGTGGCAGGAGTGACTGACGTGGCAGGAGTGACTGGCGTGGCAGGAGTGACTGACGTGGCAGGAGTGACTGACGTGGCAGGAGTGACTGGCGTGGCAGCTCATCCTGGGGTTGGGGACTTGGGGTGGGGGGAACGGGGGGTTTAGAGGGGGGATGGATGCAGGGGGGTATGAGAGGAAGGGGGAAGTAGAGCATGTGTCATGTGGTTCTTGTTACTAGTCATGTCGTCATGATGATTCTTGCCGCCTTTTTATCAAACCTCCCAAAACCTCTGCGTCCCCTCCTCCCTCTTCCTATATTCCCTCCCATGCTATCTACCACCTCCTCCCCTCCCCACCTCCAGGTGCTGATAACAGCAACAGGCACAGTCCTGTCTATCATCATTGTGATCATAGCAGCCTTCTCAATGAACCTCCCCAACTTCCTCTTTGAGACGGACGGCCAGTTCCTCCCCGTGCTGCTGCCCCTGCTCAGCACTGGTGCCGCTCTTCTGGGTGGTTTCATATACTACACCTGGTATTTCCAAATAATCACCTGAAATAGATAATCTGTAACAGGACTTAAAACACTATGCCTTTTCTGAGTTGTACCCATGGAATGGAATGGAACATTGTTGTGCATGAAAAGCCTCATTGTAGGGTAGGCAATGATGGAGAATTTTATATACAAATAAAGTTCTAGACATATCCTGTCATGCCCTATACATAGATGTGCGGGAGGATGCCAAAAATTCATGTGACTGAAATTTCAGACATGTAAAATAGCCACTACGAGAAGTCAACATATTTGTACACTCGCAACACTGCTGTAATTCAAAATGAAACTGCCCTTTCAGGAAACAAACAAGGAGTTCGCAGCACACACGACCCTCGCAAGTTTCGCACATGCACAGCTCCACGCGGCCCTCTGTGATCACAAGCACCCTGTGATCACAGCTGGCTATTATGAAACCCCGTTACCCTTCGCAAACATTGTGCGACAGCACACGTAGCTCGTCTGGGCAAGAATGTTGCGTCCTCGAGAGACAGCCCAAGTGTGAACGAAAAGGACCCTTCATTAGCAGGAATGCATGGTTCGACATCCAGCCAGCACATGTCCCAGCTTTCCCAGCTCTCACACGGCCATGGCTATTCAGAGATGCCCGGCGTTGGCTGGGAATCTCGCCAACGCTACCACTGATCTCGCGTTTCGGTCGACATCCTCTCGCTCTTTCCGTTCATCCATCCCTCCGTGTCATTTCTTCAGGCACACGCCATTCACCCACGCCAAGACTTCCTTTTGACGCCAGCCTGCTGAAATATTCCTTCCTGCTATTCCCCAGCCACTTCGGTTAGTACTGTTGAGATTGCACTGACCCTGCAGAGGGTCGTCGAGTTCTGCGGGGACGCGAAATTCTACCGAAGCGGAAATTCGCAGAGGACAGGGCGGAGGTCTGCACTGCAGCAGAATTACTTCGCAGAAGCGAAAATGAAGTCCTGCTGCAGAGGAACGCGTGTCTGCAGAAATTGAGTCTGCAGAAGAGGGCGAATCTGCAGAGCAGATCGTGGTGCTGCAGAGGAGGGCGCATCTGCAGAGATTTCGGAGCTGCAGAAGAAGGCGCATCTGCAGAAACGAAATTCTGCAGAGGATCACAATTTCGACCGGCGAACCCCTCCGACGCGAAAACGCGATCGTTTCGGAACTTTTGCGTGGGAATTTCGGAACATTGCGGACATTGAGAAATTGACCCCCGGAAACAGTGCGTGAACTTGGGGTTTTCAATCTGGGGGCGAATTGAACCACCTGAGCAAACTGAACCTGGCGCACGTTTTCGTAACTACGAAAACGTGCGTTACAGAAGTTGTTTAAAACAACCTGAACAGTTAAAATAACTACTTTTAGGTAGGTAAAAATTACCAACTAAGCATGTGTTGTAATTTTCACCTGCCGATGCTGACTTGGCAAAGCGCAGCTAAGTAGTAGTTATCTAAACGTTCTAGGCGAGAACGTTCTCTTGGTAGGTTCAGTGGTTGGGTAGTTCTTTACCCCTTGTATTCTATCTTTCATTCTATTCTAGTGAATTTTCTGTGAGTGCCAAATCTATGCCTTCAAGGACTTGGACAAATTTCTGTCTCCTTAGTACACCACCAATATCGTGTCTACGCAGAAAGCATTCCGTAGAGCTCGTTCATCCGTTAGAGCAGAAATCTCTGCAAGTACTTCCTTCCCCCTGACGTTTCGACTGCCAGGCAGGCCCCTAGATTCGTTTTGAGGTAGTCTGAGGCCTCAGAGTACACCCCTCCTGGAACTCTGTCTGTCTGAGGTGCCTCAAAATTTTAGTCTGAAAATTCAGACAAGCAATTTTTTTTTTGTCTGAACTGTCAGAGTTACTTCAAATTTTAAGATGTTCATGCAGTTTCGTAAAAGCAGTTATAATAGCATTGAGGCTGATTACAGCCTACCATACCAACGCATCAGGCAACGTGCTCGTGCTCGTGCATCGCCTCTGCTCATGTCGGCGGCGTTCCAGTGTTTTTGTCACGTGCAGCGCATGGTTGTTTCTGCTCTGCTGATCTCATTTCGTTTTGTCGTGTGTGTGATTACCGTTCTGTACCCATTTTCTCGCATGTGTGCCGATTTTGTCAGTTTTGGATTTGCTTTTCAAGCGATTCGATCGTTCACCCGATCTGTATCAGATGGGCCAAGTGCCACGCAGCTGAGCTGGCAGCAGGCAGAAACTGTTGTTTGGCGTGACATGTGAGGATCAGACAGTGCCACACGAAACTTTCAGTACGAATCAGGAACTTCGCAATTCACACCAGTGCGTGCTGCAGATGTTTTTACAGCGAATCAGCATCAAAGTCGCCTATTCTTTACAATACATTAGCGATAGCTTACATGTGACGAGATTTTGTCTTCAGAAATCTCGTAATCACGCAACCATTTCCTCAGCGTAACTGGAAGATATTCTCGACGAACGAGTGTATTTGGATGTCCCAGCTGTCGAAGTGAGCGTTGCTCACGTCCTGGCACTCCACTGCCATCTCGGAAGTGGGCATATCGGAAGGAAACTTCTAGGAAACTTTGCTCCGATAAGCGCGCAGAGTGTACCCCCGATACAAGTCTGGGGCTCAGCCTACCCTAGTAAAATTAGGCTGAAATTTCAGACAACTCATAAGAAAAAACTCTGGAAAACCAGACAAGGTACATAAATAAATTCTTTGAGTTCAGACTAGGTACAAAAAAAAAGTCTGAACGGACTCTGATTCAGACTCCAAAGTCTGATATCTAGGGCACTGCTGCCAGGTTAGATTCGTCACAGAGAGCCTTCAGTATCCTCGTCGGCTTTATTCTCGCTTCACAATCAGCTTCGGAGTCATTAGTACCTGTGTTTCTAGGTCGACCTAGATCCGTTACAATGTCACAGGAGTCTTCGATCCGACGTCTATCTGACGACTTGCTCGCCAAGATCCTGCACTTAGTTGTTCGACCCGACGAATTCTTACATGCTCTGGTGTGCACGAAATGGCGCAAGGTAGCCTACAGCGTGCAGGACGTAGTTGAAGTATCCGATCATCGCGAAATTGTTTGGGTCTCAAATTTGGCCCTCTGTAGATTTTTCCCCCTAAAGGTACACAAAAAGTCCCAACCAGCTCCGAAAACCTAACAGCACCCTCTGTAACATTTTCGTGACTCCTCGCGGTGTACATAAAAGTCACATTTGTGTCACATCTAGCGACACATGCGCACGAAATGCACGATTCGACCAACTTTCTGATGCCGCGGTTCGAATTCAGCACATTCAGACTCCAATACGCAACACTGGTGACTCATTAAACGACCACTGTACCAATTCCGGCCAGTTTTGTGGTTATAACGTATAGCTCTAACACGGTTTAGACTCTGGTTAGGTAGTGACCACGAAGCATGCGAAGCAACCCGACCACTAGCGAAAAACAATAGACGGGGCAACTAATTTCGTGAATGTCGTAAAAACATAAATTTTGTTGATTCCATGAAGTACAGCCAGAAGCTACGCGCCGGACTCAACAGTGAGGTATGCAAACCAATCAAAGCTACACGTCAGATTGAGAAGTGCAATCCCCCAATCAGAGCTACTCCAAACCGTGTACATTGCTAGAAGAAAATTCTGGACGTTCCTGTCAAACTTATATGATCTAGCCTGTGTAGGCTGTAGCGGGTTAGATACTAAGGGGTACACAATTCTAGGGTTTCATATTTGTATCACTTTCATTCCTTAGTCATTCATTCTCGTTCTAAGTTTCTCATGGTATCGAGCAGGTTCCCTCGTGGGAACTGTTCCTAGGGCCCACCAAGATTTTTTTTCCTACCCGGGGCGCGTGCCGCCCCTGCCCGAAGCGCGCCTAGTGTCCCGCCCTTAGCGACCCGTCGCGCCCTTCTTAGCGGCCCCTCAGGCCCCGTCGCTGCCCTCTCTAGGCCCTGCGTGGCCCCTTAGCGGCCCCGTCGCCGCCCCTTACGGCCCCGCGACCGCCTCTTACGGCCCCGCGACCGCCCCTTACGGCCCCGTCGCCGCCCCTCACGGCCCCGCGACCGCCCCTTACGGCCTCGTCGCCGCCCTTCAGCGGCCCCGCGACCGCCCCTTACGGCCTCGTCGCCGCCCTCCGCGGCCCCGTCGCCGCCCTTCAGCGGCCCCATTGCCGCCCTTCCGCGGCCCCGTCGCCGCCCTTCAGCGGCCCCATTGCCGCCCTTCCGCGGCCCCGTCGCCGCCCTTTCGCGGCCTCGTCGCCGCCCTTCAGCGGCCCCGTCGCCGCCCCTCAGCGGCTTCGTCGCCGCCCTTCAGCGGCCTCGTTGCCGCCCCTTGCGGCCCCGTCGCCGCCCTTCGCGGCCCTGCCGCCCTTCCTCGGCCCCTCAGCCGCCCTTCCCGGCCCCGTCGAGCAGCCGAGCCGCCGTCACCGCCGATCCGCCGAGCCGCCGAGCCGCCCTTGCCGCCGTGCCGCCGAGCTGCCGAGCCGCCGAGCCGCCGAACTACCGAGCCGCCGAGCCGCCGAGCTGCCGAGCCGCCGAGCCGCCGAGCCGCCCTGCAGCCGAGCCGCCGAGCCGCCGAGCCGCCGAGCCGCCGAGCCGCCACGCCGCCGCAGCCGAGACGCCGCAGTCCCTGCAGTCGCGGCCCTGTCCCTGCCGGCCTTCCTCGGCCCGCCCCACCTCCCTGGTAAGAGCAGCGCCTCTGCCACTGCACTGCCCTACCCCGCTGCTCTCTCTGCCAGTCTACTGCTGTCATGGCCACCCCCAGTGTTCTCACCTTTGACGCTGAGGGTCGGGCTGTTGACTTTGAGGTCTGGGTAGATGATCTGCAGCTTTTCCTACAGTGCGATAGGGCAGACGGTCTCTCTCTGTTTGACCTCACCTCTGGTGCCTCTCCTGCCCCTGCTGCTGATGCTGACGCCACTGTTCGCTCACAGTGGGCCACGCGCGATGCTGCTGCTCGCCTTGCTGTGCGCCGCCACTTACCGACCGCTGAGCGCGCGCATTTTAGTCAGTACAAGAGTGCTAAGACCTTGTACGACGCTGTCGTTGCAC